TCCTTATTTCAGTCCATTCCTCTGGTAGCATTACCAGTGAAGGCACAGGAAATTGTCACACAATACACAGAAATGAATGAATAGCAAAGACTGAAAGTACATTTGCCTGGTTTAAGACAGTTCTTAAATTGCCACAATCCAGTCAAAACTGAAGATGGAGATTCTAAATCCGCTACAATAAAAACACTTCCACAAAGAACCACAACCTAAACAAAGACACACAGAGACTATTTCCAAAACAAAAACACAACATAATTAAGGTGCATTTTAAAATGATGTCAAGGTGCTAAGGATCAAAAGGACAGATATTACTATTAACCTCGATGTGGCCTGCCCATGGAGTTCACATTTAGAATTTTCCTATACTGGAGACACATTTCAGCAGTTATTCATGCCACTGTGCTTTATGGGGAGCATCTCACCTGCATAGAAGGGAGCCCCTTTTCACATAAAAGTGAAAATAAAGTGGCGCCCTTTCAGTAAAACCTTAACTTGCTCTATCAAACATTGCCAAAAGATCTACCTTAAGGCATGGGGGGGGGGGGGGGGGGGGGGGATATACCAAAATGACAAGTCAGCAGTAGGCTCATTGTGAGCTAGCATCAAATATAAAGATAATCCACCATGCTCCAGCAACCCTGCTGGCTGAGCCCAACCAGTCTTCCCAGTCTCAGTGGCAGCAGACTGCAGCCTTCAGACCAGGCAGGGAAGAAAACAGGATATTTCCATGAGGCCCAGACACTATTCCCATCTGCCAGCTGAATGATGTATCTGTTCTCAAAACATCCCTGTTATTCCACATTTATACCCTGCACATGACCCACCTCTTTCTTGAAAATATTCTTCACTTTCAGAAGTGTGCCTCTACCATTTATTTCCTCTTTTTTCTTGCTTATGGTCCAACATCTAAGAGCATCACTAATACATCCCACAAATCAGGAATAAAGCACACTAGCTGTCTCCAGGCCACCTCTCCAGACCTAATCTAACACAAAATTTAGATTCCCTATAGTACAATCCCATTTTTAGCTGACATACACCAAAAAGCCACGCTGTCATAACATCCACGGGCATCCAAATACCAATCAATAGCTGCATCACTTTGTAGAAATAATGACAGCAATTAAAAGAATTAATCTAAAATAGTGCTTATACATTGATCTAAATATATCAGAATAAACTTACCAGCAAAGAAAAGCTGTCTATTAGATACCTGTGAAATCTTTGCCCTATGCATGTTAACTAGTATCGTTCTTCAAGTATTCAGTTCTCTTTCCAATCCAAGTAATTTGTAGACCGAAGGTGTTTTTATATACTGGACGGCACTAGGGTTCAGTTTCCTTTTACCAGGGGTTATAAATTTGACTAGACAGCAACAATTGCTTTTTAATCTAAGCAAACTGGTACGTCAGAGGCAATCAGTATGGCGAAGCTATCCCAGGAGTATCCTAATAATACCAATGAATCACTTGGCATTGTATGAAACGGAATAGTTGAACTCTTGGCACAGAATGTCACAAACACTTAATGCAGCAAGTATATGCAGCTGCAAACAGCGAGCTCAGGGACACTTCTCTTCATAGTGCTTGTACTCCTCCTCAACTTCTCTTTTAGCATTAACCAGTTTCCAATCATATTAGTGTATTTTATTTTTTTAAAAACAACTTTCCATGGGAAAAACTGACAAAATGTACGGATATTATCTGCTATTCCTGTCAATGGTTATACCTTACATTCAGAGTAAAAGATCAGGAAAAATCTGGGAGTGCTCTGATATAAGAGAAAATCTATCAATCTGTAATCTCCTTCATATAAGGAGACCAAAGTGTTTCTGACAAAATACTTTTTAACACGCAAATGATTGACACACAAATGACATTGATTTCAGAAGAAATATTTCAGTGGACCACTGCAGCCCTTCTTAGTGCTGTTTGGAGGCTAACTTGTAGCATTTCAAACATATTAAGTGAGCATTTCAAAAACAATGTTCTCCAACTAAATTATATACCTTTTATGGAAAGACATGCAATAATGCCATTTTTAAATCCAAACTAAAGGTGCAGTCTATATTAATTTCATTTTTACTAATATATTCTATTAGTTTGAATTACATGCAGATTTTTAAAACTGAAACTAGAAATACTACTTTACACACATATTTCGAAATGTTTCAATCTACCTAAATGCACAGAGCTATTTTCAATGAAACTAGCTGGTAATTAACCTTACACTAGGTTTCTCTATGTGGTGTGATTCCTGCTGCCTCTAAACAACAGCTAGCCCCACAGAAGTACATTAAGTCTGTTAATGTTCTTAGAGTGCAAAATATTGTTGAATTGACAAGTGTGTCTACAAAACATGTATCACAGTCTCTTGCCTATCTTGTCACTTGTCTGTATGATTATCTATAGTAAGTCTGGATAAAAACAGATGTTCTGAGTTGAAAATTACTTATCTTTACAACTCCAGAATTCCTGAGGAGATTTAATCTAGTTGATTTAAAGCTTTGGTTCCCAGCATCAGTTTAGTAGTTCACTGATTTTACTTCTTAACTAGATAAATGCTCTTCTACAGACATGCTAAAAATTCTCAGTAATAATAATAGCTGCATAAACTACTGACTTGCCCATAATTTCTAAAGCACAGATGATCCTAACATTTTTTTCTACTGTGCACATGAAAGTCTCCAAGTATCTGGAAAATTCGGGCCAACCACCATCTTCCTCTCATTCCATTTTCAATCTTATTTGACTATGAAACATACAGTAGAAGTCATTAAGCTGCATTTCACAGTTTATGGTTTTAATGGTTTTGCAACATTAGATGCACAATACATTTTCAAGCATCAAAAACTAGGCTTTGCTATCTAACATTTCATAAAGATAATAAAAGCTAATGAGCACTCATGATCTATGATCTGACAAGACATCTGTTCTGTTCTTTCCAAGATAAAATACTCACCCTGCCTTGCTCTAGCACGGTGGGAGAGAACAAATATAAACCAATTAACCATTCTAAATTATAAGCTATATTAAGTTATAGTTTCTCAACAGGCTTTTCATACCCTGTTGCTAATACAGCACAGGTGTCCTAAAAAACAGTCCTTCAGCGCAGTAATTAAATCCTGCTAACTTCATATGGTCAGCTGCAGTCAACAGCACTGCTCAGTTCCAGCAGGAAAAAGTCCTGTTCAAAACAATGGCAAGGTTGATGTTATACCAAGAGTCCAGTATCAACAGCTCTCTTCCCATTATCTACATATTTATGTCATGCTTTCTTATTACTGGAGGATTTTAGAGGAATTTCATTCTAATAGGTTAGGGGGTAAGTAGTGCAAACATTACAAGAAATCCTACAATATACATAAGGGACATGACTAACGTGGGGCACAGAGGCAACAAGAATAATTTGCTTTACCATTGTGAGGCTGTAACAGGGAGATCTGTCATAGGAAACTGAGAACATTAAAATTCTGCTCTCCTTTACATTTCAAAACCAGCTGCCTAGCATGTTAGGTGAACTGTTTGAGACCAAACTCAGCTTGTTGTCACCTAAAGTATAATACAGAAGTGGGAAGAAAAGAAAATTTTTTTATCTTCACTCAAGCTTGCAGTATGACTTATTTTGAACACTGCAGGAGCATGCAATGTTTTGGTTTCCTGGAAACTGCTGTATATTACTGTAAATAAAACATGCGAAAGGGGGAAAAAAAGCACAGATTGCACAGCAGTTAACGAACAACATTATTTACAGTAAAACCTTTGATAAAGACAAAAATCCCAGTTTACATAAAGAAAACAAATACCCAACACCTGACAAATATCTTGTACTGCTCAAAACACTGTCCTCTATCAATGTACCTTGCAGCACATAATGAAATAATAGAACAAGGAAACCAAGCACAGCCCAGCTGTGCAAGAGAGCAAAGTACTTTTGCTAAACTGAAGGATCCAAAGCAATTGGGATTAAATGTTAAAACCTCACACATCCTCAACCACCTAACCTATTCAAATAGCCTAAGCTTCCTCAAGTATGCCAGAGAAGAACAGCACCTTCCCATTTCCTCTAAGGAAAGGGAATGAAATCTTGTGATTTCAATGATGATAAATTGGGCAAGCTTTGGTCCATTTCCCTGCACTTCTCATCCCATTCACTATTATTGTTTTCACTTGGTTTTGGATTTTTTTTCCCTTTTTGTTCTTGACATTTCATTTCTTTAGTTTCTTCTACTCTCTGTTTACCTTTTTTCCCTGATTTCAGGATTTTACTTGGAGTAATTTTGGCAAGTTTTGGTCCTTTTCACTGCCCCTCATTTAATCTTAGTCCATTTGGTTGTAGTCACTCCATTTCCAAATTTTCTGGGTTTATTCAATTGCACTATTTTTGCTCATATCTCTTTTCCAGAGTGTTTGTTAGGCTTTGTTGTCCAATTTCAAGATTTCAATCCCTTTCCTAAAAGCAACAACCAAGCAGCCTTCCCTGGACTGTTCTGCTAGAAGTGTCTGCTCTTTCCACTACCTAAAACTGGTATTCTCCTCATGTTTCAGCCACAGACTGTCTCAGAATTTAAACCGACATTTATACAACATGTGCACAAACAGAACCAAAAAGGAAATGAAGCTAATAAGTTCATGTCTAAAGCTTAGTCCAGAAGAAAATCACTGTGGTAACATGGTCCATGGATTTCTCTTTCACTCCTCCACAGAAGTTATGTATGCTTTAAATTAAAATAAATAAAATCTGAAAAATAAAAAACACCCCAGCAATAAATAATTCTATATAGATTTTTGACATGAGATTCTAACTATCATAATTTTGTCAGTTAACCTCATAAGCTCAATTTACTCCCTTGTGCATTTTTTTATGTCCATCCATACACTTTGACAATGACTCCACAAATACTAATTCCATGACAATTTAAATTATAGAAAGATTAATAAAATCCTGGTAGAAAAAAGAATAGTCTGCCCATAGGAACATACAAATTTGCCACATTCCGATTCTGGTTAAAATATTAAAATTTAATTAATACCTTTTGAACATACAATTATATCAAGGAAAGAGTAAAGGCATTCAAACAATGGTTATAGATCTTAAGCAATATTTACAAATTCTAAACTGCAAGTTGACTATAAAGTCACAAATACTTGAAATATTTAGTAGAATATAGTGTAAATTCTAATATAAACTAGATAAACTCAATCTGTTGGTTTTTTCCGGTCATAACAGTCTAATCTTTACATATTATATACATTAGAATACTAAAAAGTTATAAAATTTTCTTTCTGTTTCTTTCTGCAAAGAAATGGAAAATACATCAGCTCTATCTTACTGTACAATATTCCAATGGAACTTTCTGTAGTGGTCTGCAAAAATAAATGGCACTTTCACATGCAACAAGGCATAAAGTACAACTCTTTTCATTTGCAGTATTCCATCCGAGTGCAAAGTAAACTGCAATGCAAATGTCATTTAACCATATAGTTGGAAATCAACTGTAAACTGTGTAAAGAGATTCTGACAAACTTTCTCAGATTGAAATAATAATGAAAAGCATGTAAACTGATTTCCATACAGATCTGTAATTTAAAAAATGAAAATACAGCACACTGAGAAGTTTGTTATGATGGTATCAGAGCTACCTTGACAACACAATAATGGAAAGCTGATGGTGCTGTTCTGAAGCCCAACCCTGCCAATGGGCTGCAGCATTGAAGACGCTTTTCTATTGACAGTTTCCAAAATTATTTCTGCCACTCAAAATTGCACATTAACAGTCAGATGGGTTTTCTAGACTTCATTATGCCATTGTGTAACCATAGCTTCCACAGTGCAATGCCACAAGAAGCCTGTCTTTCAGGATTTCTTTACTTGGGTACTCAGGTAACTTCAGCATGTTGATACTGGAAAGAAAAAAAAATAAGGACACCACAGTTCAAAAAAAAACTCAATAGTAAAGATTTCTGATTAAAAACTTTGAAGAGATCACATGTATGGAAGAAAACAAGCCTGTGCAGACTTATAGTAACAGTGACCATTTGAATATGTTGTAGGAAATTATTATAACTTCAGTAAGTTATAATACAGTAATTAAACTTTAATATTCCTTTATTAATTTCACTAACTTTAATTAGACAAATTTGAGATGCAAACATGATGTAACATCATATGGGATAAACCCACCACTTTCATGTTGGAGAGTGAATACTGAAGAAACTGTTTAAATCATTTTTGACCTTTTAATATTCTAAAGAACTATACTTTTGACTGACATGAAAAAGCCTTGGGTTTGAGATATTTTTATGAGAATAGTTAACATACCATGTGCTTGATGTTGGTAAAAGATTTGCAGTATATGGCACAGCAGCAATAGTAAAATTTTGCAATCCACTGCCACCCATTATATGGGCAAAGCCACCATGAGGCACCCTGGAACTGAGAAAATGTACAGAAATTAGAGCACTGAAAAAATGTTATAAGGCAAAAAAATGTAATCTTTAGACAGAAAATATCTCTTACTTAGGATCATTTGACAGTTACTAATATTTTTACTAAAGTAAAAGTACTTTTTACTTTTTCTTACTGATATCAAAATTCTCATTGTTTAGAACTTTTAATTACAAGACTGAGTAGCACATTAGTCTACTGACAATAGGCACCGTATTGTTTGACTGACATTTAAGATAATTCTGCCTGCAAGAAGTACACATTTCTATAACCAGCTTTTGGAGAAGAATGTTCATAGAATCAGAATATTCTGAGCTGAAAACGACCTACAAGGACTGAAATCTGACTCCTAACTCTGCAGGGAACACATACCATGTGCCTGAGAGAATTGTCCAAACCCTTCTTGAACTCTGTCAGGCTGGTGTTGTGACTACTTCCCTAGGGAACCTGTTCTAGTGCCCAACCACCATCTGAGGGAAGAGCCTTTCCCTAAAATCCAACCTAAACCTCCCTGACACAGCTTCACATCATTCCCTGGGGTCCTGTCTCTGGTCACCAGAGAAGAGATCAGTGTCTGCTGCTCCACTTCCCCTCCTGAGGAAGCTGTAGGTCTCCAAGGTCTCCTCTCAGTCTCCTCCAAACTGAACAGACCAAGTGTCCTCAGCTGCTCCTCATAAAGCTTCCCCTCAAGGCCCTTCACCATCTTCATGACCTCTTTGGATGCTTTCTAACAGATTTATATCCTTCTTATATTGTGGCATTATCTCAGTTAAGAGATAATCTCATGTTTGTACATGTCTATTTATGTTTAAAGTTTAAGCTACATCACAAAGCATTTTATTCTCTGATTACTAGCTGTGGGACAAATGACAAAAGTGCCCTTGACATGTCTGTTCATTTACTACTTCAGACCAAATATTTCAAGTAACTAATAAAACCATTACATCAGTCACACTATAGCCCAGTGACAAACTATGGCAAAACTAGAACACGCTAAAAAATCACTAGCATCTTCAGGAATGCAATCTCACTTAATCATATTAGTCTTTTTTTTCCCTTTACCAACATATTATTCAAAGATTACTCCGGGTGTAAATGCACAATAGCTCACTGCTCAGACTCCCTCTCTTTCATTAGAAACTAACAAATAGAATAAAATTCAGATATTCAGATATTTTCATAATATCAACTTAAGCGGATATACACTGGAGGATAACATCTTGCTAGCACAGCCCTTGCATCCAAAAAAACCTCAACTTCCACCCCAAACACCACTATAATGAAAGGATAAAGGAAGTTGAATGCATTAGGAACAATGCCACCAGCACCATGATTTTGGCTCACATTCCAATATAGCCCTGCCTCCCCTGCAAGGACTTTTTTTTCTCCCCTCTGATAAACATCTCACATTCAAATCAACAATAAAACTGCTGAAAATTTCTTTCAGTCCACTATTACCTAAAAGTTTTTTCAATGTAACTTATTATAATACTTTCCACATAACAGGTCAAAATAATAAAGCATGGTCAAGGCTTTGAACATTTAAAAGGAAGAGACTGAGCCTCCAATAATGAGTTTTCTCTCCAAGCAAAACCCAGCCAATATAGTAAAGAAAACCTTGCAAATAGGTGCAAGAAATATCACAATAGCTGTGTGCAAGAGCAACAATATAATTTCATAGCTTTGGAAATTTCTACATTTAAATATGAATCATAACTTTTCTACCTAGTTTTCCACTGACAATTTTTGCATACATTTGCTTGGAATGAAAGCATGGTAGAAGAGACTCTAAGCTTGTTTCCTTAAGTTTTCTTATTTTTATATGACAGTAGACACATATATCGTTCATATTTCACAGCTATGCTGAATTTTGCTTAGAACAGCATAAGCATGTTGCTCCACAAAAACTACAGTCCCCAAAGAAGTTCTATACAATCTTTGCAGCTGTAGAATTCAAATAAAGTAGAATTTATCATTTGGAATCTATCAAGCTGTCAACACTTCCTTCCAACTGTTAACTAAAAACCCCATCAGAAGTTCCCAGAAGAGAATTAACAATAAATTAGCCAAATAGTATTATAAGTACCAAACAGATCAAGAGGAGGAAAAATAAGAAAAGCTTGTAGAATTGGCAGTATCACCTCAAGCAGCTGTTAGCTGAGAAAGAATAAATGGCATCATAAAACTTTCAGATCCCCAACATGAGCCACAAAAACATTTAAGCTTTTTGAGTGTGCTAAGACCTCCAAATATGTTCAAATGCTCATGACAATTACTTTATTATTAAAAGATGTCTCAAAATTGGTATTAATGACAAATGCAATGTTATCTCCACTGAAACTACCAAAGCAAGACTTCATAAGAGAAAAAGAGAAAGAGATGTAAAAATGGGGGAAGAATACAAAACAAAACATTTAAGAAATATTTGGAGATGTCAGAGAAACACTGAAGACATAATCATAAATCTATTTTATTTAATTCACTAGATTAATTTCATAGTCTTTGATTGGAAAGAAGGAATAGTTACACTTCACACAAGCACAAAAAATCAAGTAAGTGAATGTACAGAAGAGATTAAAGGGAAATGGAGGAAAAAAACTTTTGAATGTACCCTGCCAACCAGTACCCACAGAAACAAATTCTTCACTAAGGCCAGAAAAACACCATAGTTTGAAATCAGGTATACTTTTAATGTAAAATTTTACTTAAGATATCGGCCAACTACTGTACTAGGCTCACAGAAAAGTCAGCATCTAAATCTTCCTTTTAAAAGAAAGTAGGACTGTCTGGGGACTTATGTGCAAAAATGCCAGCTGCATATCACCATTCAAGGTAACTTTCAAAAGTGAAATATTTATGGAAAAATACATCTATTGCATTTTAAACAGTGAAGAAAAAACAAAGGGTTCCTCCTAGGTGATACAGGAAAAAAATCCTAAGAAGATTGTTTTTAAATTCTAGACCAGAGTTAAGTCACACCAAAAATTTCTTTCCTATTAACGAGAAAATGGGTAAGAACAAGACAGTATGTGATTTGTGACCAAAACGAATGATGCTGATGTATGTATTTAATCAGACAGTGTAAGTGTTTACTTGATAGAAAGCGTCTCTTAGAATCCAGTAGATTATCCCAAATGTCATGAAAATACTGAATGCCACTTCTGTATCATTTGGAATGTTTTAAGAAGCATTTGAAAAATGACCTTACATTTTAAAGATCCTTATATGCTGTCTAGATTTAGAAATGGACCAGTCCACTAAAAATGAAAGACTAGCAGTTGGCATGCCACACATGTGCAGTTACAACTTCAGGAATCATTTCTTCAGAGGACAAAAAGATCAATGTGCATACAACTAGCTTCTTAAATCATCCATGATCCCTAAAACCAAGGAAATTCATAATAAATCAAGTGAAACTAACAGAATTTGGAGACCAGGCCATTTGATGATACATCCATGGCTGCAAAATTCCTTAATATAAAAGGTAGTTTTGATGATCTTAATTTGTGTTTTATGTTTGCTTAACCACAAAACTTATACACAAAAGGTCAACTACTCTACTAATCCTAGAATATTAAGGGAACATAAAACCAAGAAGGTACTGTGATCTCTGCCTGCTACCAGGAAAAGACTGGATTGCACAATTCAGGTGTCACATTTATGTCCATGGATCCACTTTGTGAAATGTCTGTGCCCACAAGCTCAGCAACTCACCCAGCTCGCAGGGGGACTTATTGCTAAAATGTTCCCTCACTGCCCCCAAACCATCAGGGAAATAAAAGTGGCTTTCCCTAGAGAACAAATAGAATTTAGGACAGAAAACCTTCATAAAGCAGACAGTCTTCCATAAGGTTACATCTTTACTTATCTTGACACACTGCACTAATGTTAAATTCAACTCAGCTTGAGGAGAAGGATATTCTGTGTACACTGACTGAAGTGATACCTACTTATCTCATGTATCACAGCCTCAGCTGATTGCTAGAAAAGCCAAGAATCACATAAACATGCAACAGGAAAAAATAATATAAAGCTATTTAAATTCACTTTGGCCTTGTCAAGAACAGCCTGGACAGCAACAAAGGCCTCTTGCAAAGTGGTCAAGTATAATAAATACATAATCAATCATTTTGCAGGCAACAGAGACAGCAGAAGTATTAACACACACTCTGTCTACTTCCATCAACATATAGAACAACCAGTATACAAAACAGTTTCTAGATATTTTATGGTCTCTCAAGCCTCTTGTCATATTTCAGAGTATCTAGACAATGTATTTGTTCTTACAGAGGAGTGTCTCACCTGCCAGTAACAAACTGTAATAGTAATACCCTCTCTTCCTGAGTTAGTTCTTCCACCACATCCCAGAACCACTAAATGACAAAAAAAAGTTAGTTTGTATTTTCCATTAAATATTTGTAGTACTTGAAAATATACTGATAAAAATAAATGGAATATATTTAAGTTTGCTACTTAAATTGTGGAATTTTTTGTAACAAATTCATACATAATTAACGTAATGTATAAATAGAGTATTAAAAAACCTCCACAAATTTCAGCCAATATAAGCTCCCACAAACACAGAGTGACAACAACAAACCCACATTTTTTTGATTAAATAGTCTACATTATCTAAAAAAAAAACAAGAAACAAAAAACCAACCAAACAAATATTTTTACCTGAATAACTTGGTCTCCTCTCTCATAGCCACTGGTATATTCTGTATTTTTTAACCAGTCATTCACATCAATTTCTGGCATACCAGACAACAAAAGCTCCTTCGGGAAAGGAAAAAGATTGTGATTAGTCCTCCTGACTAACCACCTATTTCAAGAGTTTATGTTATTTTAAGAAACAATATTTTAAGAAGTAGAAAGTTTACGGTTCTGTTTCAGTTTATTGCAACCTTATGGAACTCATGACTAAATTTTAATACAGGAAGATTCTTGAATTCAGATAACTTCACATGATTTGTTTAATTTAAGTATGCCCTAGCAAGAGAGAAAAATTATTGCCAAAGAACCTAAGAGAAAAAACTCTGAGTCTCACCATGGCTTCAGAGAAAATTTGAGATGTGTTGGTTACAGACGATCAAACCACCAACAAATATTTACTGGAATTTGACTCTGTGGCTCAGAAAAAGTAAAGACAATAGACAGCATTGCCTTACTCTTATAGGATTTCTGTCCTCCTCAAGGAAAATATGCAAAGACTTAAAGGCCACAACATGCTGATCCCATACTGAAATTACAATTTAAGGTATTTACTGCCATGTGAAGTTTCAGGAAGATGGTAATCCTGAGTAACTAGAAAAGGCAGGAATACACATAATAAGATCCTCACTGATAGATGCCCAGGAAACAAAGCCAATGTGAAAGCTACAAAATATTTATTTTGTGGTTACTGAGCTTTACTTCTACATCATTTCCATTGCTGATTAAATATGCTGAACAAAGCATTTAAAAATACCAGGCATTTCAGCTTACCAGTTCATATTCATCAAAAAGTTGGATCAAAGATGGTGGAATGAACATATGGAAGCCTTGTAAAAAGGCATTTATCTGAGGCTGAATGGCTCTTGTCATTCTGAGCTCTGTCACAAGCTGGACATACTCAGCCTGCAACATAGCAAACAATATTTAGATAGACTCCAGCAAAACCACACAGTGCTCAAACAAACTCAAACACACAAATGCAGTCCTCAATGCATTACAAATCTCTTCTACTGTAAGGTAGTACAAGTTCCTTTGCATTTTTCACATGGAAGCAACCCAAAATAAGCCCCTTCTGCTCTTCCGCCTTCCTTCCTAAGACAATTCTTAAACCAAAGTCTTTAAATTGTTAAATAAACCAGTCAAAAAACAGGGACTCAGACCAGGATAAAGAAAGTAAACAAAAACATGACAAATTTGTCATGCCCACATCTAATACCACTTCCTTTAAGCTCAATTAAGGGCATAAAAACACCAATGTTTGTAAGCAAAAATACTCTATTTAAGCAAACTGACATTACTCAGGAAAAAGAGCTAACTTCTGAAGGAATATTTGTGAGACAAAAAGCTTCCTTGCTTTCCCCTTTACCCCATCTCTAGAAGCCTAAAATAATAAATAATAAAGCCTGCAGAGTTTATTAGTCTTAATAATAATTTCAATTTTTTTAAGAAACTCTTGAAAAATCACCTTAGTTTTAAAAAAGAAAAACACCAGAAAACAACTTCCATCATAGCCAGGGAATAGACTATAACATGTTTTAGAGATCTGGGGGCTCCGTTCTCTTTGAAAGAAAAGGAATCCACCAGAACTTTGCTTTTGTTAAGAACACAGAAGCCTAGAAGGCATTAAAGGCTTTTAGAAGGAGACAAGTCCCTTTTAGAAGTGGCTAAATTAAAATTCTGTAAACATGTCTCATCTACCCTGACCAAATTACACAAGTTTAATAAAGTTTCCTTACTCAAGAAAATAGTTTTCTACTTGAAAACAAAATTTATTCCTAGATTATTTAGGTACTCTGTTTAAAGAAATGTTTTGACTTCACAATCATGACTTTTAATAAGAAAATCATGAAATGTATCTCCCAATTAAACCATCTCAAACTATCAGCTTCCTTCAAGAGAACAATCTCACAAAAATACTACTTTGATTTTTAATTTTAAAATATTTCAACCTAACCTTTTATGTTCTGAACCTGCACAAAAGCAACCAAGCATTTTTTCTTTCCTCCCTTTCAGAAAAAGAGAATGAAGCATAAAACATTTCAAAGCAGGATACTTTTTTACTTTGGGGAGCCAAAGGAGATTAGCTACACTTGACAAAAGTCAGTCTGTGAATACTGAAGAAATCAGAAATTTTTGCAATACCAGGATTCAAAATAATGTTAACACTGGTTGTTTTCAATAATCAGAAATGCTTGTTTTACATCTCTTAAACTGTTTTTATGTAAATTAGGCCACCCAGAAAAACAGGGCGGAGGAAAGAAAAATACACAACCTTATTTTGAAAAAAAAACATTAAAAAAAAATTACTTATTTTATGCATGACAAAAATACTACATGGAACACTTTAATTATGAGAGAAAGCAGTTGCTGTAGTTTAGGTGCAACAAGAAATGTTTAAAATAGCCTGGAACAGCCAAGCTTCTTTGGCTATCAACACTAGCACATGATGAAAGACCTGTAGCACAGAATTTACATAATACAAGTCAGTAAAACAACCTGGGCAATTTGTTTTGCTTTCTGTGCACTTCATTTACATTTTTTTCCCCTCTGAAACCTTAGAAGCACATTACTAAACAGAAATATATCATTTCAGATCTACATATGCATTCCTACATAGTACATAAAGTTATGATTCAGGCTTCTTTAAGGAAGGGAGATTTGATTGAACACACATTAGATGGGCATCACAAATATAATGACAAAATCTAGTTTGAGTGAGGGATTGTTCTGTATTTTACTCTGAGGTAAATAAAGCAGAGATCATGCTTCCTTGATTTCACAATCCCACATACTGTGAGACAAGGATCAATGGTTATGATGATTTTCAGATTCAGAGAGCAGCTCCATTTTAAAACTGTCTGGAAAAAAATATTTTACTGCAAAATAGAATGGCCAGCTCACAGACAGGTTCTGGGAGAACTGAGAAAGCCACAGGATTGTGGAAATCTGCACCATTCTTTAATATAACAAAGTCAAACCTTGACTATGCTTGATTTTATTTTTTTCCTAAAAAGTAGAAAGAGGCTAAATGATACACAGCAAAAAGCAAAGATAAATTCAGGACAAAGCCTGACTTTTCCCTTTGAAGTCTCTCCATTACCATGACAAAAGGCCTTTGAACCAAGCTACAACTGTATTTTAGCTGGGCTACATGGACACAGCAGTTGCAAGGCATGAATATTTGCATCATCTAATTGTCCCATAACCATTCACCTATTACACAGTTGATATAAAAAAAAGAAAATTACCCCATTCAAAGCAAATAACACTTTACAAATAGCTCTTACAAGTAGTGCATTTAGTCTGTTTCAGTTTTCAATGAGCGAAGGGGACTGTTTGGGTGTTTCTGTGCAGGGAGGAGCAAGGGTGTGTTTTATTCTGTTTTTGGCATGGGGGATTTTTTGTGTTTGTTGTTTAGGTTTTTTAAGGGATAAAAATTCATTCATAATTTAATTTTAACAGGTAATCTGCTAGTGTGCATACACAGCAAATTCTTTTAGAAGTTGAATTTTTTTCTCCCACAGGTATAATAAATACAATGAGTTTTAAAGACTGATCTATTATTCCTCGGGTAAAGGCAGAAAAAAATAAGATACCACTTGTAGGAGAAAAAGAGATTTTTGTTTATAACGTAGACACATTCCTATTTAAAATGATAGACCAGCTAAGCTAAAACAGACTGCAAAACTATGTTACATTAAATGAACTGGGAAAAAGTTTCCCAAAACCACTAGAATACACATCTCCAATTTTCAACAACTTGGTCATTGTCAACAACTTTTCCAGTGAACCAAACTGTGCCATCTTACAGATGTTTTTTGACTTCTCATTTTGCAACTTCAAATTCAAAAAATGCATTAATATTAATAGTTTAAAAGCTACCACCAGAGCACCTCTTTCTTACCACCTTTCAAATTAAAGCTACACCAACTCTAGTTCCCTCCTGCCATGCTGACAAAGGCTTGATGAAATAGAATGGAGGCACCTCCTCTACACATTTTCAATCACCCTTTTTAGACTCTGCTCCAGCTCTAAAATTAAGAGAGCAAATAAAACTGCTAATGGGTAGTACCCTTATGTGGCCAAACTTCTAATTTTATGCTAGCTGAAAACAGGGTTTAAATACTTGTTATGAAACTACAATTTAAGTTAAATACATCTTTTTTATATAATGAGAAACTAAGACTGACCAGACACAGGAATCAACATTCTTGCTTTCTCCAACAGATAATAAAGAAATTAAGCATCCACTACCTTCACAATTAGACTTCTTTTGCCATCTGTATTCTTTCACAAATGACTGTATTGCAGGAATCAGTGCAGAATCAGGCTAAAAACATGTATTCCTGCTATTGGAATGACACTCTGCCTTAATGAAAATGAGGATTAAGGCTACAAGAATCCAGTGCCAATTGCTCCAACACAAACTGCAATGTCCTTGCAACAAAGGCTGACACCAAGCGGCTGCTCCCCAGTGCAGCATCTGCTGCACCACTCCTGAAGCCAAATGCTTACTGAGGCACAGTAAGAACAGGCTTGGCCAGCCCAACATGAATAAAAAGCAGAACACAAAGCAGACATCAGGACCAAGAGTCAATGTTATAAAAAACTACAGGTCTACTCATGACACTCCTGCAGTTACTCAGAACTGTTTAGCCAATAACTGCAGGATTCAATTAGACTTGTGCTTATCATAATTTCTAGACGATCTTCAAAATCTGGCTGTGTTTGCCCGTATTTCTTTTTTTGAATTAATGCTGCAGAGGAATCGGGATCTTTTCAACCTGCTACTAATAAAGTAAATTTAAAGAGTAGGTTATTTTCATACACATTAAAAATCTTCCTGCAGACTTTTACTCTGTCCATTATCTGCATTTAATTAGAGCAATACAGTGTGCTACAGACCGGCCTAGCAGGTAGCACACTTTGCAACATTACCTATTTTATGTTTACCAATTGCTGCTGTTCTACTTCCTTGGTATATATACCCAAGACTTAACTTTAGGAACATTTGTAACTTTTAAAATAAATATTTCTTTTAAATTGATCCTATTTTCCTTCACAGTTCTGTCAGAAAGAAGAACCTCTAATCTCAACTCTTTTAAAAATGTTTAGTACTATTTCTGTAACATGCTAACAGAAAAAGAGGAAAAAGTGTTGGCAACTGCAATTTTTTTGTATTTTCTCCAAAGCAGGTATACCATTCATCCTCCCAGTTATTCAGAAAGTCATTCCAACGGCTTGTACTATACTACCATCTTCTGAATAAACTGTATACTCACCTTGTTTTCCTGTGTAACAAGTATACTCGCACCCCCCGGCTTCAATGGTACTTCTTCCATTGCTCCAAACACATCAGTCTCAACAGAGAAGGTCAGCTCTAAACCCAGATCACTGATATCATTATCTAAAATCCACTGCAAGTTCTTTGCATACTCCGGATCAATAGATGCTACATCCTGATAATTTACAGGTATGCCTAGGAAAAGAAACAAACAAAGAAACAAAACTGCTCAAATACATAGAAAAAGCAAAAAGGGGTTCTGACTTAATACGTGGTAGAAGATTGCCCTCTAGAGAGAAATGAGAATAATGCACTAATAGAATAGAGAGAAAAAGGGATGCACTGTTGCTAACTACAGCAGAACTGTGCACACTGCATTTTTAAAATACTCCAGAATCAAGTTTCCTCCGTGTTTTTCCTTTTTATGAAGCATATGACATACCACTTAGGCAAAACCAATTTGCATCATTTTAGTTCACTAATGGATTTCAGTAAAAGCATCTACTCATTCTGAACACCAAACATTAAATGCTTCCTGCAAAGTCTTAATGTTTTCTACCTAAATTTTAGAAATGCAAATACCGTACTTCTCTATAACAGTATCTTTTCCCACAGATTTTTTTAGGGGGTGAGGGGGGTGACAACCTTCCTGTACCTAGAAAACTCTATCACTCTTCAGTGTTCTTCTTTTTAATCATATTTGAAATAAGATATATTATACAGTTAAAAATTATTGTTATAGGAAGTTTATATTTCAAACTGAACTTACAAGTCATTTAGAAACAATAAAAGGAGAGTTGCTAGCAGTCTGACTTTTATCCAGGTACAGAAAGTGCCTATTTACAACCCCCTTTTTAGGCATGGCACTCAAGCACGTTTGAGCAAATGGGCCCAGAACAAAGTGTCCCTAGTTTATGCAAGAGAGCTACCCTCTTCACAAGAAAGCTGACCTTGATTATTTTAACTCTGGCATGATAGATACTTCAACACTACCAAGACAGATACAATATCTGGGAAAAGGGGAAGGGAGTGAGGGTAGGAGAAGGTTTAGAGAAAAGCAAGTTATTGGGAAGTACTGTCCTTGCTTCACCATCTTCCATGCACCATGCAGTGTCATAAGGGTGCCCATTAGTAGAAGCCTTAGCACACTATGGATTGTGGATGCAGTACCCCAGAGAAACACAAAATTCAAAGGTTAGCAGCCACTGCAAAATATCCAAGAGTAAAAAAAGTTATAGTATTTCCCTGGAAGAGCTGACAAGCGCTGAAATGGTGTGCACACAGATGTAAAGCACTGTTTTTCAAATAAAATCAAGCAACACCAGTTAAAGAGAGGGATAACTTACTAATTAAATATCACTGCCACTTCTCTCAAATTAAAAAAAACCTACCAGCCATCTAGTAGTTTCCAGAGGACTTTCACTAACTAGCAAGCATATGTGCATTTGACACATGAAACATGGAAATAATTATGCCTCTGAGTGATATAAGCAATATGGGGGAAAAGAAGACTGAAAAGTAGGAATCAGAGACTCCTTTATAGAAGGAACCAACAAGTGTTATGACGAAAGTACACTCACAGTCAGCATGGTGTGAGACCAAAGCAGTAAGCTCAGTCATTTGGTTTACCAATGAATAGACTCAAGCAGGTAGTTATTAAAAAATTCCATCAGATTTATCATGAAAAATTTGAGTCCCACAAAATACTATATATCTTTCTCCTGTATACCCTTGAGGCCCCTGAGTTTGAAGAGAAATCTATCTCAGCATAATTGTGAAAAGCAGGTATGTTCTGTGCAACACACAACTTCAAAGAGATACTACAGGTAAGTTCTGAGACAAGCTTATTAATTATTCAAGGATTTAAGGCCTCCAGTTCAAAATACACTGACCCAGAAATTAATTTTCACTTTTGTTTATGCCATTTCAAGGACTATTTTCTATTATAGAGTGGAATGTAAGAGTAGATAGAACAGTTAAGAGTTTATCTGCTATCTGTCTTTGTAAGCTGAAGGTGGAAGTTAACAGGAAAGTAACCGTATCTGTAAAGAAATACAAAGTAACTGGAAAACAGCACCAGAGAAACCATCTGCTCCTCCCCTGTTTAAGCAGAAGGCTGATAGTTAAGAAGTGTGAGAAAAGTAAACGTAAGATCTCTTACTAATTTCTAACTGTATTTCTCCCTGTGCTACATTTGGAACAGAGTGCAGCCTTAATAAACATGCAGACCTATGGAACATTGTTTGGTTTCACAGCACATACACATAAAAAAAAATCATGCACACTACATATCTAATACCTAGTTGTGTGTTAGCTGAGTCATCACATAAAGTTAATGATCTTTCCTCACCTACCAGATATTGTTGCAGGAAGATCTCAACTCACCACAGTGGAAAAAGGTAATGCACCCAACCTGAGTCTCAAAGAAATGCATGAATATTTGTTCATACAGGTTTCAGCTTCTAATTAAGTCACTTCCACATCATGTCTATTGACTAAAAAGAGGAGCTCCTCTCTGAAAGAGATTCACAGTGTTCCTCACATACAGAAGGGCTTAGCACACAACTGGTGATTTCAGTGCCATCAACAGATGGATGTACTTTCACTACAGAAAACAAGGATCTCAGTGCAAGGTGAAAAACCAAAGGAATGGAAACAGTCACAGACTGCATGAGATTTCACACTCCTTTACTTAAGGCCTGACAAGAAGCTGAAGGGAATTTCTATGTCTATAATCAGATAACTTGTATTTGACATGAACAAGAGCTAGCAAAAATACAACAAATCTGCTCAGGAGCACCCACTGCTGCACAACTCTGATTCCCTAAACAAGAAGATAGGAGATGTGCAAAATTTATGGAAAAGGCCTTGGAAAAGTTTAAGTAAATCACAGTGACTGAAGCAGAAAAAGAAACTACTTTGCAAAGTGGAGGTGTAACTTTTCCAGTTCTTTGTCTCTGATAAGTAAAAAGAAGTGATAAAGAATTGTGAACATTTTGACCTTAAACAAGTTTAATGTGTATAAACCTCTAGAAAGTTCCAGGATGCCTGTAAAATAGAATGTTGGAATGACAAGACCTTACTAAGACCAGTTAGACCTTATTAACAGAAACTAATGACTGCTGCTGGGTTTGCAATAGTTATCCTAGCAAAGTGAAAAAAAAAAAAGAAAAAAAGTAAGCAATAGGTTATCTTGTCAATTCAGAAACCAACAATCAAGCATATCATCAGAAGCCAAAACCAGTAAGGAACCCAAAATTATTAGCAGTCATTTCCAAAAGAGGTGACATGAACAACACTTCACTACTCTCAAGGTAACACTGAACAGCAGAAAAATAAGATTTTCTTTTTTGTGAATATATCACAAGGAAATTAGCCTGTGAGTGTCATTCATAGCAACGAAAGCAGTGTGGCCAGCAGATCAAAGGCAATGATTCTGCCCCTCTACCTCACACTCATGAGACCCCATCTGGAGTACTGCAGCCAGCTCTGGGGCCCTAACATAAGGACATAGACCTGTCAGAGCAAGTCCAGATGAAATGATCACATGGCTGGAGCACCTCTCCTATGAAGACTGAAGGCTGAGACAGTTGGACTTGTTTCAGCCTGGAGAAGAGAAAGCTCCAGGGAGACCTTCAAGCATCCTTCCAGCACTAGAAGGTGGCCTACAAAAGAGTTGGAGAGGGACTTTTTACTCAGGCAAGCAGTGGCAAGACAAGGGGGAAATGGTTTAAATCTGAAAGACAGTAAGTTAGATTAGATATTAAGAAGAATTTCTTTACTGTGGGGGTGATGAAGCACTGGAACAGGTTGCCCAGAGAAGCTGTGGATGCCCCATTCCTGGTGGTGTTCAAAGACCAAGCTGTACAGGGCTTTGAGCAACCTGGTTGAGAGGAAGGTGTCCCTGCCCAAGGTATCTAAGATTCCATCAAACCCACATCATTCATGATTCTTCTACTTACTCTTGATGTCAGAGGCCAAGGCTTAAATCAGCACCAAACTTTGCCATGCAATGATACCTCTACTTTAAAACCATTCTCCTGTGTGAAGATTGGTGACTAGGGGAGCCTGAGGAAGCAATGCCAACATGGTGCTGCTGCAGACTGGCTGTACTCCACTGGCTCTTGCCCAGCAGTCACTCTCACAGAAAGCAGTACTGAGGGAGAGGAATAAAATATGCTACTCTGTGAAGATCTTGATAAAGATGACTGAGCCTGCACCTTCAATGAACTGCAAGTGATCTCTGAACACTTGCAGGGAAGATAAACAGCAAGCCTGAAGTTAAGAGTTGATCTGTTCTGGACTCGGCAAACATCACAGGAAGACTGTAGGTAGACAAAACGATTACAGAAACCCATCAAGCTGTCTTATACTTCCAAAGATTAGTGATTGAACACCAAGGAAATTCTGCATGCAATAGCAAATAAATTGATGTACTTGGAGGAGGAACAAGAATGCACAGGGAATCACATCTTCTTTCAAGGAAAGTTTTTTCATGACAATGCAGAAGAAGGGCAATCTTGTTCAGCAATCAAGAAGCACAAAGGTTCTTAAAGAAGAGCAGAGAAGAGCCCTAGATCACAGATACCACCAGCTAAGAGAGGTTATCCTACTAAAAAAGTTACATTTCTATAAAAACGTCTGTCCAATCCTCTTGAATACTACAGTAAAAGAATATTAATTAATTTCTCTCACTAAGGAGACAGGATGAACCTGCATTAGTTCTGAAACCCTGTTTTGGGAGATACGTAGTATTTGCTGGAGTAGGTAGACAGAGAGGTTTCCAACAGCAGGGCTTCACCTTTTTAAAAACCATTGCACAGGTGAAGAATTTGAGACATGATCAAGAATGCCTAATAGATTTTTGCCAGAGTTCACAAATACTCTCAACTTTGTCTATCTTAAGTTAACCAGGGAACAATTATTTTCATTTCTCAAGAATGACACTATGCAGAAGAGTAAATGAATATCACAATTGTGGTACAAAGAATTGCTGTGACTCTGATGTACATAAAAGACTAGCAAGACATTAAATTCCAAGGCTTTTTCACTTTTAACACACACACAAAAGTAAAAAAGGAAAAGGTTTACTACTCAGCCAACTGTTATGACTAATAAGCAGGATTTTAATAAAACCATACCAAGAATATGTTTGTAGAATGACCTTGTGAAGTAGATGTTCACCAGCTGCCTGTGATTCAGAGCCAGCCCCAGGATCTGGCCTGCAAAACGGAAGTAGTTCAAATGATCTGGATTTACAGAAGAGTTGCTGTTCGGCTGGAAAGTTGTTCCTACAAAACAAAAATATTATCATGTTCCATTATTTTTTTTTAATTAATCTTTTACTTATCAAACACATTAAGCATCTGGAAACACTGCAAGAGTTTTATCTTGGGATTTTGAAAGTCTGTTTGGGATTTTTGTTTACACAAAAAAGATGTCAGAAAGGAATGTCTTAGAATGTGATGACATCTTACTACAATGATACTGCTTAGCCACTCTCCAAAGCACTGCTATAAAATAATTATAATCAACAAAAAGGTAATTACCAACTGCTAAAGATGGTCCTCCATCTTACTATATTGCTATATGCATGTTTTACTCACTCTAATGTGCTTTGCTTCTGTCAAATTGCGAACATGCTCAAAGGAAGGACAAGAATATATCTATTTCCCTTCATATGTCTCCAGCCAGATGCAGGCAGGAGACAGTCCAATTCTAGCCTCCTTGGAGAAGACTACTTTAAAAGGCAGACCCAAACCTCTCCTTTTAGCTTTCATGAAATAATCTGTGCCTCTACACAGATTTTTTTGCATTATAAAAATGCTTTTATAAAAAATTACACCCTAAACTTAGGGGGGAAAAAATAAAAAGAGAGGGCAGAGACATACCATCAGCTGACTGGGTAAATAAGGCATAATCTGGGTTAACTATTTCACTGGATAAGATATCAAACCATTCACGCACCACACCCTGTCCCTGCATGTCAAGAGAATAAAACATATTAGTACACAAAACTTTCACTCAATAGTTATGCTGAGTAACCACATATTTCTTTTAACGTAATTTTAAAGTAGGCTTTAGCTCAAAACCTCACTTATAAATGACAATTAGTATTTCCGTATGAAAATGCCATAAAAGAAAACCATGCACTTTTACCCACCATGCCTTCTTCTCCATGAAATCTCACAGCAATCCCCTGCTTTAATTTTGCACAGTTTGCTTTAGACACAACTTCACAGCTACTCCTAAAAATAGAATCTAAATACAAAATACCAATTAATTTTTTCATTTTCATTTATTGTCTTTCAAAGACACACTAAGTCAATTATTTAGAACACAATACCTCTGTGAACCAACAGTATGTCATTTTCATTGACAGGCCTGTGCACCATGTCTGAATCTGGCTGCCCGGCATGCAGATGTTCATAGAACCATTCACAGCGATCTTTAAATGGCTAAAAAACAAAGTGCAAACCATATTATACACGTGCATTCTCCTGAATAATTCCTCTCTCATAAGTAAACAGTTATGCATAATTCTCAATTAATTTTTGAGATATGCAGATTTACCCCAATATGCTATACAGTATTTTGGGAAGAAGAAAGGACTAGACATGTGCTTGAGCGCTTGCAAAAAGACTGGAGTACCAGCTATCCAGAAATAGCTATTTACGTTTTCCACAGAAGAGAAAAACAGCACAAAACTTCTTACAGGTTAGGGGAGAGCATGAAGGAACTTAGATAAGAAATAAGCCACTGGCTTCTGTAAAACTACTGATAATCAACCATCAACCACATCTGAGTACAGAAGCACAAGCAATACAAACCAGCCCTATTTGCAGTGAGGTTCACTGGCAAAGTAAAACAGCCCAAAGGAACCAAAAACCTTAGAAAGCAGTTCCTAGGTGAGAAGGTTCTAAGTTGTTTGACTCAGTGTTTATGTCAACATTTGCAGCTCTTTTGAGACAGATATGACACAAGCATGGCCTTTCTCATCCCCTGCAATACACAGCACGTACATGAGTTGATCTAACAAGCCCGGTATCAGTTCTCAGAGTCTCATCATTATTCATAGGTAGTGAGTTTCAAAAACACACATTTCAATGCAAGATCGAATAAACAATACACATACACCATGGCCCAGAAACAAAACTGGATTAATAAAAGCAATTTATCTTTAGAAATAAAAGCACAGTATGGTTCACAACTTAGGAAATAAAGCTGTTGGAACAGGCAACAAGATGACATTATGTTTCATTAAAGGAGCTGCCACTAACTATGACCAAATCAAGTAATAGTGATGTATTTATCCTCTGGTTTGTCTCAAAACATAAGTCATTTAGGGGAAAGTAAAGCATTTTAAAGTTCAATCTATTAGATGTGCACAAGTAGATTTACAAACAGAAATTTCACTCTTTAACTGAAAGTTGGAATTGTAAGACACATCCAATATTGGTTATCTCAAATGGACTCACCCATGTTTTTTAGAGAATTATGGATACAGAAATCTGGCTGCCATGTCTAATATGATCTTTCCACATTACAGATTCAGAAGCCACTGAGGCCATGTTTAGTTCTTTCATCCTCCCCAAATGGAAATCTTTAAATATTTTTTTAAAACACCCTTTTTATATTCACAGAAGTTGTAATTAAGCACCTCCTGATATTTACCTGAGCTTTTATGATGTGCATAAATCTGGACATTAGTTCAGGACACTCCAGAAGAAAATGAAAGTGATCAAAAATTATTTTGGGATTTCTGAAAGAAAAATAGGTTAGAAGCCTGTTAAAGACTTAATAATAATGCTTCATGATGCAAAAAGTCTACATACAGAAAAAGTGCAATTAATCATACAGACAAGTTTCAAGAGATTCATCTATTTTATTACTTTTTCTTAACTCTTGTTTCCAAACAACTTATACTGCCTCATCTGTTAAACATTAGAAGGGAGGATTAGAAGCAGCTCCCCACACAGAAAGAAGGTTATAAACCTGGCCGTTCCAGAGAAATTCTGGAAATAGTCAACTGTACTAAGATGGTTTAGACTCTTAAGTCGTCACACATTTGAGGAAGAATGAAAGTTTTCATCTACCTTAAAATGCAAGGCCTCCTTTGGAACAAATATAAGGAAAGAATCCATTTATCAAATTATTCTGTTGTTCTGTTAAATAGATTTTGTTCAGAAATCTTACAAATAGATCACTTAAATATGCAGAAGAGTTCATTTAAGTCTGAGCTCTGAATCATTAATCTACACTATTGAGTGCAGCAAGACTATTAAATTGCATATTGCTCATATATCACAGCAACAATCTAAAAATACAACTCAGCAAGAAGAAAAAAATGAATTATTGCCAGGGAGGAACAAAGAGGCAGATTACAGGGTCCATATTTGTTGAAGCTTACCGGTTAACAAAACACTTAAGGACATCATCATGCTTACAAACAAATTCTATAAAACGAGGTGATGTCATCCTGTTCAAAAATCATAAGATGTTTTTGGTTAGTGCAATTGAAACTAATTTGAATTACATAAATTGTTGGGGTTTTTTAAAATAAATACTACACAAATAGAAACTGATGCTGTTTAACTAGTCATCATGAAACTAAATATTCAACAGCATTAAGATCTCATAACGAGAAACAGAAATTTCAGAATTCTAACAGAAAAGGCAAAAATTTCAATAACCAATTATCTTCCAGAACATCCGCAGAGAACTATGCCCCAAACAAATATTACTGTCAATTGAAAATACTGGCCAATTTGAAAGCTTTTATTCAACTCAGTTTGGCAGAGAAAGAATGATGATTAGGAATAAGAGCTGACATGTAATAGGACCCTTGCTGCTAGATTCCTCAGGGAGCTTGTGATACCATCATAGTTGCCTAATCTTCTAGTCATGAGGGCCAAAGTCATAAATATAATCCATAACAATCTTGGAGAGCCTAGAACCTCAGTAACAAGTGGTCACACTTGTTTCCTTTTTAAACCAGACCTCAATGATATTAGGCTTACCTAATCTGAACTGCATGTTCCACACAAAACTGCATGTTCCACACAAAACTACTTGTCAACCTGGGACAGGATTCCAAGTGAGCATCACTTTGAGACTGAACTCTCCTTGTTATATATAATATAGTCAAATAAGTTTTGCCCCAGCCATCATATTCATACACAAAGATAACTCACTTTTTTTTCTCTTCTGAGCTTACAGCTCTTCTTGTTGGATAATCACATTAAATTCAGGGTTAATTTCACATTAAGAACCAACAGCAAATACAGCTAATCTTTAAAATACCAAAATCCTACTAGTACATGATTACAAAGACCCATTAGACATTCAATACAAAATGTGTCTCAGTGCAGCTATATTCCGAGGCAGCAGCACTATGGAAAACTTGCAGTGCTGTTTGGTGCCTTTAGAACCATGAAAAAAAAAACATTCAAATAACTGAACTAGTGAAAGCATTAAACAGCATAGCTTTGACTGTCACTAATACAATGTGGGCAGTATCAACATTCTTCCAAGAAAGTATGTATGATTTTAAAATGGTAATAGTTTGGGTAAGAAAAATGAATCAACTCCTTACCCCTGAGGCATCTGACAGGAGCAGCACATATAGAAGGCTTGAATGACAGCACTTAGCCTGTTTGCTGTCATGGAGACAACATCCTGACAATCAGCACAAGCTTCCTGCTTCCCAGCAACATCATATGTTTTTAACTCGACAGCATTAGTGGACAGCTCTTTTCTTCCCTCAGCTCCTGCAGTGGCAAAAGAAGGTGCAGAAGTAGCATCTTGGTGATCTGGTCCTTTTTGCTTCAATAAAATAGAAGTAATGTTGGCAGAGTCCCTTTTGTTTTTCATCAGCTCTGTGGCTATCAGAACAAGCCATTCATCCAGAGAATGCCAGAGCAGTTCCAGCGGCTGCAATAAACACATGAAAAAACAGACAAAAAGAAACATGTTGACATTAGATAATATTAATAAAGTGATAATTCTCTTAAGGCAAATAAATATCATGCACATTTTAAAGCTTTAAATGATCCTTTAAAGGTCAGATTAGAGATAAAAGGCCAATACTCATAAAAAATTCTGCACTTGTAGCCAAACAGTACAAAGACACAATTTCATATAGAAGGAAAATCAAGCAGCAGATGGAAGAAGGATAAACTCATTTAATAGAACTACAGAAGAAGTAGGGAATTGAACTATATGACAGAGTTTGGCTTCAAAGAGCACTCTACTGCCTAACCACTGCAGTCAAGCAGGGAAACAGGAACACACAGGTTGAGTTTCTAGAGTAAGAGTGTGCCAGTTCTTTAGGAAGAACCTGGTCAAAGGAGCTTCCTCTACCAAGAAGATGGAGGAAATCCCAGACAACACCACACAGATTCACATTCATGTCTATTAAGAATGTGCTTTATGCTCATATAGCTCATTTTGATGGTACCTCAGATGTTTCAGTGTAAGGGTCACTAACATCTAGCTTTATAAAATAGAAACAAGTATCAGCAGAATACCATATCAAATTATAAGGCTAAAAATTTTATTTTACTTTAACATAGACACGCTTTTTTTACTATCACCTGCTAAAACTCAATATAATTGAAATCCAGTACAATTCCGTCATTACACATTTACTCTGTGCTGCAGGCCTACTACAGAAGACAAAAAGGGACAGGACCTGCTGCTTTTTTATGAGTATAAAAAAAATCCACAAAGGCTAACTGTGTTTTCCCTTAATGGTGTTTAGGGCTTGTTTCACAAGCCCACAGTCTAGTGAGCATAGGGATATAAATCCTACAGGGAGGTCATGGACTCAAGTACTTAACAGCATTCCAAAAGAAAGAGTGAATTTCTAAATTGATTCCTTTTTCCATATATTACTGTTACATCAACATTTTTCTCAAGTGAAAACACTCAAAGACTTAGCAAACACTGAAAGCTAAATTCTCATATTCTCAGGTTGCTTTTGAAAAAAAGAGCTGCTCACTGTAGCTTAACATCTGTACACTATCTGGAGCACTGTCAGTTGCACCTCATAGCTGATATGCTCTCAATACACAATAAATTACTTCTCATAAGAGCTCTGTATTAAAAGATTCAGCTTAAATTCATGATTTAAAAATTTACTACTATGCTTCCATTTTTTCCCAATAGGAGTGTGGGGGAAAGCCAGCCTGATAATACTGGTAGGCTTTGCTCAACAGTTTGTATGTCACTCAATACTTGTGCTCCTAGTGACCACACATTTCTCTAGGTGGTGATCTGAATACCTCCAACACAGATAGCATTTTCTACATAAATGTCTGCCACACAGGATCAAGTTATCCTCCTTCCAAGACCCATTTGGCAGACTTTTAGCACAAAACATAACATTAAAAAAAAACTTTCTAATGGAAACTAGGATTAATTGAATACACAGAAGAATTAAAATGTAGCTGTACTCTCAACCTATAACTCAGGAGAAACTAGGTAGTTATTTACTAGAATACTAAAAACCAATCTTTTTCCCTCAAACTTTTCAATGTTTAGTCTGCCATATTCCACCATATTCCCTCAGTATCTTGTGTTTTATATTTTATTTCCAAGAGTTTTAGCACACTTTTCAAAACTTTTCTACCCAATTTGTTTTTTCAAAGCTAGTTCTTCACAGCTTCTGATCATAAACTAATTTAAAAGTCTAGTCAAGCACAGCAGCTTTAACATTTCATTTCTTTCTAGTCCAACTTCAAGATATAAAACACTTCTAAATATTGCCCATCACCTCCATACCCATGACTGTCAACATTTTATGCTGTCATTCATGACCAGACCTTTTCAAGTAGCATACATATTCAATCAAACCACTAATAATGTTTTTTCAAACTACTAGTCAGCATTCTTCAGCTAATTCTTACCATGAACCTCATATTAAACAAAGGCCCCCACTCAAACTTCAGTTGGCATGTTTCAGAGTGTGGAAAAGTTTCCCTAGAATTATACAGCTGTGTCTGATGGAGTATCAAGCTTTTACAGCTGCACACCTTACCTCCCAAATGCAAGAATTTACCTATGCAATGCCTTCCTCTTTACTCATCTAGAAAGCAAGACCAGTAACCAAATCCATATTCAAACTGCAACACTGAAGCAAAATCTTTTGCCAGATGTGAGATAACTTTTTAAGACACAGGGTGCAGGAGATCACTAATCGATGAAGTGACTTTGTCACAGCAGAGGTGTTACCTTAATTCTAGAAAAGAACAGTATCTGAAACAAGGAAAAAATATTAAGCACTTCCCAACCTTGTTCAATTACAGAGAAATTTTGCAGCAAGTTTCCCTAATATGCAATTACACTGAACAGCAACTGGAAGAGCAATACATGGAAAAGTAACGAGTGTAAACCTGGTCAAAATTACTACTCAAAGTTTCTCACTGGTAAGATCTCATTTGAGGTAGCAGTTTCAAGCTTCGAAGACAAAATTCAATGATTCTTTTGTATCTTTCAGGGTCAGTACGAGAATGTGTTATCATTAGCTAGTGCTTCCACTTTAAAACATCTGGATATGCTGAATCACATACAGAGAATTCCATGAAAGCACAGACAGGCCTGTGATTTTCCTGACCTCATCAAGCCTACATTCCTCTGTAGGCTCAGATCCAGAATACTCATATTTTTAATCCCTTCCCAGCTACATTACAGTGGCAACTCTTCAAAATATGTTCAATCAGTACATGGAAACAGAAAAATGTAATGAATAATTGCAAAAAGTCAGGTCTTTTTTATCTCCTCCCAAATGGTGTGGAAGCCCAACAAAAGCACATGTTCAAAGAAAGGACAAAAAAGCAGAAGGAAAGGTAGGACTAAGAGAAACCTGGAAGTCATCCAATTCACTCAGCACTATATCTAATCTCCCACTACACAGTCTACTGGAAATTCAGGGAAGAACAGGCTAAACCAACCACAGCTGTAGATTAATTTAGCATTGCCAGACCTGTGTGCCCATTCCCAAAAAACAGTAAGTTCTCATCAGCAGTTTTATATTTCTGAGTTTGAAATGTATATCAATCTTTAAAATACCATGGACACAACAGCGGCCCTACTGCAGGGTTACCTCACTCATGAAACTTCTAAATAAATTACAATAATTGCAATTTTTAAATAATTTTTAAAACATCCTGAAATTTTTGGTTTGTTAGGTAATGTAACAGTAGTATGCATTTTGCTTATTTATTAAAAATATACATGTTGTTTTCACACAAGTAAGAATAACTGATATTTTCTGGGACAACTGTGGCAGTTGTTTCATGTAAGTCTACTGCGCAAGATTAAATGCACAGTAAATTAAGAAACAATTCTTTCATGATACAAAGTCATTTGGGCATGCAGATAAGTGATTTTACTGATATAGCACTTCCTTTGCAAATTGCAGTTGAATGTTTTTGTTTATTATACTGAGCTCTGAAATTATGTGGAGTTGAAAAGCAGTAAACCTTCCGTTTTTTCCTTTCTGGGCTTGGTACCAGAATATCTGGTACCAGAATGGAGACAGTTCTTGTATGAAGTGTGATTGATATATGCTTGTGATTTAATCTGGTGTATTTGGAGCAATTTTCATTAAAACTATTAGAAAGTGCTGCCTTTAATAAAATAATTCTTGTAATTTGGGTACGGCTTTGTTTTTTAAAAACAGAATTCTGGTTAAACCTACATTATTGCCCTATTATGATGAACAATTCCAAAGGACAATTATTACACTGCACACTGCATTACATTTTGTACAGACTCATTACATTTTGTTCAGACTCAAGCACTAGTTTATATTCATTATATAAATCAGTTTGTCCTAAAAACTATTGTCCTACCAGAAGAACAAACATTTGTGTTGCATGCTTTTGGGTTTTGACAGTCTAATGCTTTTCTTCTTTCTAAGAGAAGAAATTTAAACAGAAATTGAGATAATTCACTAAATTATCTGGAATTAAAAGTATCATCTTCCATGATCTTATCAATATAGCTCTGTCTTAAAACTCCTTGGAAGTAACCTGATGAACATGTATCATCAAATAATTGCAGCAATTTCAAAATACTGTTTTCACAACACAGTGGAAGAAATGTAAAAGAAAGAAAAATCCTCAATTACTGGCATCTAAATTTCTTGGTATGAGCTGTGCTGTGTAAGAGTATGGAGTAAGATGGGAGAAGAAAGATTACCCTGCAGTTCTTTTTTATTAGGTGGTCTGAAAAATACAGCAGCTGTACATCCAATGAAGACTGAATGGCACTCAGGAAACTGGGGCTTCCTTACAAAAAGGTAATCTTTGACTTTCTACAGAGGGATTCCTTAATAAATAAACATAAAAATACCAAACACCTTCAGGAACTAAAGCTCCAAATGGCAACCACCTAAAGCATGTGTTTAAAAGCAGCTACAAATCAGTAACCTTGCAAGGGTAGTAGTGAGCTGGTATGTTTCAAAGCACATAATAATAAAATCCCAAAACAATTTGGGAAAAGATTGCATGTTCACAGTGAGAACAACAAAGAGATCAAGAATTCAACTGTTTCCATTTGTCTTGTGAAGCTGGATAAAGCTTATTGATCATCACTCCATCTGTGTATCTCCAACTACCATTTTGAAATTACATTAATATAATCTATTATATTAATATCACCATATTTTGATATTACTATACTCAACAGAAATAAAAACAAAATTTACCAAGGTCACCTGGGTAGCTAAACCTTCAATACCTAATAAACAATCTATTAAATAAGAAAAAATCAGAAATCATAACATGAGATGTGCATCAATGAACTAATTCAGTGGGAAAAAAATACAGGAGAAGGAGAGAGGTAGGTTTAACTTAAAAAGGGATAGGGACATCAACCAAACTTACTTCCTGTTCATGAGATGTCTGATTAATGAATGCATGCTTTGTGAAATTCATCTCTTTAACGTCTATCTTCCTAACAACATCATATACTTTTCTGACCTTGAACACCTGACTTCTTGGAGTTTTATTTCCATTGTAGCCCATGTCATTTCCATTACTGGGAGAGGATGGGCCAATACGAAAGACATGGCAAAATATCCTCACGATCCTTAAGAGACTCTTCATTTGAGCTTCATAATTACTTGACAAGCTGGGGGAAAAAAATGGAATGTTTAAGTTTCTTTTCCTAGATGAAACAATTTATTATAATAAGGAGTAAACAATGTAATGGTAGGGTCTGATACATATGCTGAAAAAACCCCTAAGCTTCAAACCCTAGAAAATTTTAACTTTCATTTCCTGCACCAGCCCCAAAAGTCAAATATAAGCATTATGATTTTACTAACATGTACAGGTAACTTTAACTAGAAGTAAGAACAGCAAATTCCAGATCTTTCAAAACATTTCCTTTTTTTTTTTTTTTTTTAATACACTTCTTATGAACCCCTGGGAGGAAATCCAGCTTCCTAAGAATCTCAGTGCATGAAGCAAATTGGGATATCCAGATGAAAATGTTTCTCAACCCAGAAAAGAGAGCATCCAACAGTAAAAGCCTACTGACTGATCAGATATGCTGCCACAGCCCATCCTCACCAGCTATTATTCCAGATGCCCATTAACTACCTCAACCAGACAAGGGATCAGGATGGTAAGGATGCCATTACTTCTACTCGAGAAAAAATGTAATCTAAAAGATACTAAACAAAACCACCACTAAGTTATTTATTTATCCAAAAATACTAAAAGTTTTATGTCCCCTTAATTGAACTGGCAAACACTGTACTCTGTACCAAAACAGTGTAAAATATGAGATATTCATGACATTATGCACAAGCGAACATTCTCCACCAAACTCAACTAGGTTTTCTTCCTTAAATGCCAAGAATTAAGAATTCTTCTGTTTTGAATGCATAACAAACTGCAAGAAATTAATTATTTTTCTATCAAAACCTACTAACTTCTATTATTATAGAAGTGAGCACATACTCAACTCTATCCTTAAAGTACTTGCAACTCAAAAGCATGATTCCCAGCCAGAAGTTTGGTAAACACCAGAAAACTGACATAGGGTGCTGTAAATATCAGTTACAATTAATAATCTGTCAATACACGAACCTAAAACACAGTTAGTTGTAACAGCTAGCATAGCTTTATTATGATCTCATTCACCCTATGTCATCAGCAAAATACCTATTTGTTTTCAGCACTACATTTTAATGACTGTGAGTTAACTTCTAAAAACAATGTACCAAAAATTTTACCAAATTACATTACAAAGTATAATTTTCTTGTGACAATTTATACTTTAATCAGGTAAGTTTTCAGTAAGTCAATGTAAGAAAAGAACAGAGAGAGCAAACAGTGCTACAGTAGGAATGTTAAGGTTTAACCAGGTAAAGAAAATCACCTGACTGACAGTCTACAATTGTGTTACCAGAAGCTCTCATCACAGCTAAAAACTAGCATTTGTAAAATCTTTGCTTATATACCAAAAGAATCTATGAATACAAGAAGCTAACTCAATACGTTTACTGAAAAGAGAAAAAAAAAAACTTCTAACATTTCAACTGAGGTTTATCATGTCTCTGCAGCGGTATTTTCCTGGTGAAATTTCCTGGTCTCCAGGATAAGAACCCACATATGTAGAAAAAAAACATAGAAGCCTTTTAATAGTTCACTGAAAATTCTACTGGCATGTTTGTAAACATTCAGCTAGGCCTAACCTGCACCAGCAAGACCAAATCATGTCACATGTCAATTATTTTCTTGGAAAAAGGGAATATTTGGTGAAGATAATGCTAAGTGAAACAGGGTCCTTGCTTGTACTCAAGGCAGAAGTCTTCAGGCAGAAGCTTAGTGGCACGCCTGGATACTTGCTAGAAGCATTACAAGAAACAATATTAGAGACTTTTCAACTAAACAACAGACAACCCCAAAAGCAATAGGTTGTGCATTAGTACCCAGGAAACTAATTGAGATGATATGAGTTCAGCCGTGCAAGAATATCATTATTGGAGGTTTTCATGTACAAAGTCCATTTTACAAATTTTTTTTAGAAGAAGGAGAGAGAGGAAAGAGGCCCAAGCTCAGAGTATCCACCAAGTACTACCTTAATCCCCATTGTGTTTATAAGAAAGCAAGAGAGAAATATTTATTGAAGCAGAAATTCACTGCTTCTGCCAGGAAACCAAGCTGGAGAGGACACACAGTTTTTGTGGAATTGCATCTGTGAAACTGTCTTGGAATTGTTTTCTTTTGCTATCACATTTCTGTATTACAAAGTACAAAGAGAAGCTGGCCAGTAAGAGTCCACAGGACACTCCAAGTACTGGCATTTCTAGAAATGAGTCCTCATCCAATGCAATGAAACCCTTCAATCTTGTCTTCAGCCTCCACCAGCCCACCCATACACAGCAATACAGGAGCACACAGAGGTTCAAACTCAGAGACCGTACAGGCACAGAGCTACTGTTCCTACAGCTACAGTGGGGGAGCATTGCTCAAATCAGAAGAGCAGTAACAAATCAAATCTAAACAACAATCAGTTTAATTTACCTCTGAAGACATTGAAACAGAAGCAAATACTACCTCGTATGATGTAATCCAGCTACCACCACTTCCAGTAATGTCCCTATACAGAGTAAGTTTGAAACCCTTTCCTGCAATGTGGTTTTACACCTTACCACAATGTATTCGTGGGAGATCTATCGGCTCTAGTGAAGTCTGAAGACAAAAAGGAATGTGTTGCAAGTTAAACTGATACACACTGAAGCTCAGCAACAGCAGAAATTCTTAAAAAAAGTTATCTTCACACCAACAAAATTTCATTAATGTCTACACACTTCAACCTCCAAGTTTAAAGGGATTCAGACCTATACATTAATTCATTAAAGTGAACACCTACCAGAGTAAGATTTATTAATGGTGTAATGAATTTCCTACCATCATCCAGGAGTTCTGACCTCCTATCAACATGCTCCATTTAAATGTAACATGATTAATGGGGAAGAAGAAAAAAATCATCTAGGAGAAAGAATATACTATTTATTTTCCACCTTACTTATGGGCTCCACGGACCCCAGCCCAAGTACAAAAAAGCTTCCCAAGTTATAATCCTCTACAACCTATGCTACAGAACAGTCTCAAAGCTCTCTTTGCCAAAATGCCATCTAAAACCTCTTAAGGAACTTCACTCATGTTTTCAGACCCTTGACTCTTTCAGTAAAGATTTTCTAGTAAAGCATAAACCAAAATCTGTTTGCTACTGAAAACAGTAAAATGTTCCAACAAATTGCAGACAAAGCGTTTTGCACAAACTCAAACAGATGCCACAAGAACTAGGAAAGCATACCAGGTAAATATTCTTGCCTATGTCATGCATCTCCCTAAGTTACTGCTGCTTGTGCTGCTGAGACAGCACACTGGTAGATGAGATTTTTTTGTCTCATATATATGAGGCGTCTGAAGTAACAAAACTCTCCCCAAGCATACTTAGGAAGCATGTAGAAAAACAAAAATGTTCAAGGGAAGGAAAAATGAGAAGGATGAAGACAAAAAAAAAAGAATTATTTGATAGTTGTCTAAAAGCTTCCCTTCATTATAGCTGAGACAGCCAAACAAAAAATACACTTCTCTGAAACTGAAGCTTCTAGATACCAGCAGCTGAACAAGGACACCAACTTTTTCTCTTGAAGCCTGTGAAGACACTGATCTGAACAGACATTACCATATAAATCAGATTTGAGATCCATCTACTCCAGCATGTGCTGAGCATCAGTGGCACTAACTGTGGGGTAGTTTATCAACTTGTGACCTCACACCTACCTGAGTAATTTGTGACCATTTGTTGTAGCAACTTCAGCAAGACTTGTCAAGATTTTAAGATACTGGCTTTCACTTTGCTGAGACAAGTGCTCCAGAACTTGCCGCAACTGAAGGATTAAAACAAAAGCAATTGCAGATTGTCAAGGAGCTTCAGATCAACAATAATTTATCAATTATGTAGAACACTATTACCCAAATATTAATATCCAACAATAATAATGTATATCTATACTGTATATATAATGTACATCTATACAAGCTCTAACCTCAGTTAACATTTCATTATTGTTTACAAAGATTAAAAATGTGCAAAGGTACACATTCTAGTGTCAATGCATGTACTACAGGGTATTTAACTAATTACAGAATGTTAGAAACACTGAATGTTTAACCCTGTAGAACAACTTATGGCATTTAAAATACAAGTCCTGACTTGTAACACATACCCAGTTTCCTTACGTTATCACTTCCAGATAATACAAACTGGTCATTACCCAAGACTAAGTAGAATAGCTAAGACTTGGCCATAGAAAATAATTTTCAATGTATGATCACATTTCGGCAACAAAGTAGAACTATACCATGTATTAGCTAATATGTTTTGTATACGCTCTCATTAAGATCCTGTTTTTGCACACAGCTCCATCATTACTTAGACAGATGAAAAATTTTTCTCATTTATTTTCTTTACTTCTACAATATACAAAAGGTCTTTTTGTTCCATTGTTTTAGTTCTTTCACTTTTAATTTAAATCATCTATAGTATCTTCCCTTGCATCTAACATACACTTTGAGAATTCTCACCTGCGTCATTTCACTCTGTAAAATTCAACCCTGTCTCAGAAATTTAAACACTGACCTGGAAATCTTCAGTGTTCTAATGGAAGTAATGGAGTTATAGAGAAAATTAAAACATCAAAAATCTAGCAAGCAAAATTAAGTAAATTGGCAGCCAGCACCTTACTAATTTTTTTTTATAGTCTGTAAGGCTGTTTGCCATCATTTTAAAACAACTAATGTATTAAAACCCCACAGCAAGCTAGATTTACAAGGGGGAAAAGGCATCCCATGCTTCATTTCCTTTACACAATAAAGAAAGAAAACTTATTTCCTTGATTTTTCTTTGCTTTAGATTGTATCCCACAATAACCAAACAAGCAAGGTATAAGAGAACCATTAAAAAAGAAACAGAGTAGTTTCATCTACAGAAATAATAATCAAATGAAATTGTGGTGGCAATCTTTTGCACTGTATGATTGTACAAGGCAACTTCATACAGATGAGTGCTCATACCACAAACTTTTAAGTTAATTCTGGATGATTCAGTCTCAAGACACATCCTAGAATGGATGTCTGCAGATAATGAATACATGAAGGAAAATAGGCCCCGTTACACTAAGTAACTGTATATATAGGATGCTCTAGGCTTGCTCTATCAGTACCTTTGTATTGAAGCTTGCAATGTCTGCTCTTTAAACTGCCTAGATCACTTTGGCAAATGTACAAAGTTAGAACACCAAATGAAAAAAGATCCTACATTTAATTCCAAATTCTTGTGCTTAAAATTATGTGAAGACTGCACATTTTCCATGACAACAGAAAGATGCCTAGTGGTCAACTACTGTGGTACTGATTGCCACTCATATTAAGCACTAAGCTCTCCACCACACACAGTGAGATCCCTGGCTATAACACACAGCATCCCAGATTACCATGTTTTCCCGCAGATCTTCATTCTGTGTCATTTGAATTATCGTCTGGAAAAGCCGAGGATGGTACTGTATTAAGACTTCACAAGTCTCTCCATAACCACCCTAAGAAAACATTTTAATTAAAAGAAACATTAGAATTGAGAGTTAGACTATTACAGGCAATAACATATATTAAGGATTATGGTATTTTTTTAATGCTGGAGAAATCCTATTCCAAAATAATTTGAAATTCAAAAACATAGCAAAGTTAGGTATCCCAAAATGTCTGGGAGTAGACAGAATCAATTTTTTTCAGTATACTGGCTCACATATATCTACTCCGTTTTTTTGGTTTTTGAAACATTTTCCTACTTACCAAACTAAAGGTACAGTTGAATAGCACTTCAGCCAACAATCACCAGCGATTAAAAACAGTGTAATATTTCACTTCTCTTCCTCTTACTGACATCTACTTAATTACATCCAGAATCTAATTCTTCAAAACAAACATTTTCTAAAGGTTCATAGGACACATATCTGACTTGTTACAGGAAGAAATAGGATAAACCTATGAAAGGGTTATTTAACTTTAAAATCAACACACAAGTATGATTCCTTAGAATGTGCCTTAGACTAACTTCACACCCTTCTGAGAAAAAATGTTTTCTGGAAAGAAAATAACTTGATTTTGTGGTTTATTTGTATCAAATCTTATTTAACACAGCTGCATTTTTAAGCAGACAACTGACACCTGAACGTGCATGAACTTCTATTCTGGGAAGATGACCATATAATGTATTAACTGCTGCAACTCCAGGGGCTCTCTGTGAATGACAGTTAACATTACCTCAGTGAAAACCATACATTAAAAAGATTCATTTAATTGTTTCTGGTACCAAGAAATTAGGTATTAAAAATAAACCCACACAGAATCTGTAAAAATTAATGAAAGTCAAATCTTCAAGATCAAGTTAATGTTGGCAAGAAGATGAATCTATAATTTCAGTCTTCTGAAAACATGTACTGACTTTGAAAAACAAACCTTTAAGCATAGAATAAAACCCACAATGTAAAAAGAAAGAAAACAGTGTTTTTTCTATTCTTACTTGGCATCATGAACTTGTATACTGCATGATCTCGAACACAGATCATCACTACAAAACAAACACCAGGTGTCACTACTCACACCTAAAAAAAGTTAGCAAAAGTTTTATGTGTAAAAAAGTGCCCTAGGGATTGCAAAACTGGAGACTGAAGCAGGAACTCAAAACATTAATAATAAAAAATAATAACTATACCATTAAGCACTGGTATAGAGTCACAGAATCATTTAGGTTGGAAAATTCCTTTAAGATCATCAAGACCAATAATCAGCCTAGCACCACCCCTACTACTAAACACATCCTCAAGTGCCATATCCACCATTTTTTAAACACTTTCAGGGGTGGAGACTCCACCACTTCCCTGTGCAGTCATATCCAATGCTTTACACCCCTTTCCATGAAGAAATTACTTCTAATAGCTAATCTAAACTTCTCCTGCCTTATACTGTCTTACAGGTCTGTTGCTGCAGAATACCTTGAAACTAATCAGACACCATATGGCTTTATGGAATGATAAGTGATTCTGCCATAACAAAGGAAAAAAAAACTGAGTTTCACAATCAAATCAGCAGCAAGATAGTATAGTGATCTGGCACTTCTCAGTGACCAGAGCTGAGGACTTATTTGGTTTCTTATTTCTTATATGCAAAAATAAATACTGTAAGTAACCTAACTGGATCAAGGTCTTCCACAGATAGTCTGTGAAAAAAAGTTTTCAGAGTTAAACATTCCAAAAATACCCCACAGGTACTGGAGACAGCACTCTGGCAGATACACACAACTATTTCAAGTGCAAGTCTTAAGCACATGAGGACACCTCAGAAATTAAATAACTTGAAGTTGAAATAATCAGAAAATACAGGAAAAAATTAGAAAATTTTTACTTTACCCTGAAGAACTAATTACATGCATAAAGGTAGTGTGATGTCCACTTACTCCAGCGATTTAGTTTTTTCAGCTTTCAGTTCAGTTTTCTAGTCTCATTACTAGCAAAGGTTCAAAAGCTTCCATTCAATCGTGTTATTTACATACTGACCTTCAACTGATCTGACAGAAAAAAGTATTGTGCTCACGAATAAAAAAAGTCACTTAAGCAAGCAGTACCAGCAGTACTTGGTATCAAACAAGACAGACTGTTTTGCTGTTGAAAACGCCATATTAGTTGAAAATGTGTAAGAATTTTGTTCCTTGCCCAGATATAAAAATATCTTTGAAAAGTAAGAGTCATCACCATGTAAGTTTTATTTGTTTTTAATAGCAACATCTTCTCATGGGAAAAGAAAATCTATTATGTGAGGTAAAAAAAAAAAAAAAGCACTCCATTCTGCATGCCTTTACCTCTTACTTGTTAATAGGCAAGCACCTAAATTGTGTACTACCATTATACCAAGGATTACAAAACTTTCCAGTCAAATGGAGTTCTGGAAACTCTTTCTCACAATGTCAATTCTTCCATCTGACTTATGCAAAGGGTAGAAATTATGAATCTGCCTGTAGGATCAATTTCATGATTAAAAAATTACATTTCGCACTTGTTTTGCTAAAAGACCACTATCTCTCAGAGGCCTTAAGAATAAAAAAAAGTAATAATGATCAAGTGACACTGTAGTAAGTCACAGAAATTCACAGAAAAAGTGTTGCTAACTTAATACCTGTACACAGAGATCCAGTGGAGTAACACCATTCTTGTCTGGTAAGTATTTGGCTCCTCTCATCAAAAGAATTTGTGCAGTGTCTCTCTGACCATGGCTATTCAAAAGAGGAGAAAGACAGTTAATACAGCATTTATGATCCGAGTCATAAATCTGTCTTTATTGCATCTAATAACAAAACCAACATAAGCTAGAAGAAAATAGTTACTGAAAAAGAGCAGTCCAAAATTCAGGCTATTTATGAAGTCAGAGTCACTCTCATCATTCAGAAATTACTCATCTTAGCCTCGCCTCAAATATTTATGAGCTGCATTTCCTGCAAAAAGAGAGCTCTTTCTCAATTTACATTCTAATTTACTTCACAGAGGAAGTTATCTTTGCCAAGTTCTTTGCTCACTTCTACCATATTTGGGGAAAAAACAATCTAATTGTGCTTTAACCATCAATAAAATGTTAGCAAGATATTTTTGTTGATAATTCTTTTTTTTGTACAAGTGATAACTACATCACTCAAATGGCTCTAATTTCTATATATAAATGTCTTGCATAGCTTCTAGAAGTGATGAGATTTACTTTTACATTCAAAGTATATTCACTAATCTGCATATAGGTATAGGACCCTTAGTTCCCTTGAGTTAAAAATTTCCCCAACATGCCAGCATTAGGAAACAGAAAAACCAACTATTTATACCTCTCAACACCTTCTCAAATCCTTTCTTCTGAAAAAAGTGAGAAATTGAGTACCAGTGATCAGAGGTTTACTTCACTAAAAACACATGGAATGATTACTTGAATATTGCCTTCACCAGCATTAAGTGCATATACTGCCAAACGTAACAGAGAAGTGTCTAAAGGATGAAATGAAAGACTGATAAAAAAGACATAGCACTTCCAGTTACAGATACAAGTTTTTTCAAGGAAGTTTAATTTCTCAAGCTAGTATTCAGTACACAGTTTACACCAATGTATATGAGTTTTTGGCATCCTGGAACATACAAGAGGCTGTCTGAAATCTGAGCCCAGTAGGTGCAGCCTATCAGTTCAGAAAGGGCACAGGTAAAGTGACAACTAACAGCTGAGGGGCAAGAGGTAGCTTCACTGATTTCTCAATAACTCACAGATGAGTTCTCCTCAGTCCTATCCTTCCAGCCCAGGATGCCAATAGGTTCATCTAATGTACCAGACTTTGTCCCAATGCAAACAAACATTAAATGTCAAAAAGAAGCTCAGACTAATGGTCTACTTGCAGCATCTTCACTGTAATTCTCTAGACTAAGTGCACAATCCAACACTTGACAAAATAGATGCTCCAGACCCAGACTTTGAATCCTGCAGCTATCACCTGACACTGCTACCACATCCTGCCCTCCCTGTCATCAGGAACCTAGAACTTTTCTTTCTAGGTTTGCTGTAGTACACACCCTGCTCTTTTTACCCTGCCAGATGCTCCAGTTGGTAATTTCTAAAGAACATAACTCCTGTACTTGCCACATTCCCTTCTTGTGAAAAACCTCCAAGCCAAGACAAGGTGCTTCTTTTAAACTGTGTACAAATACCAGTCCCTAAATCAAGGACCAAGGCTACCAGCTATTTATTCTCCACTTCCCTTCTTCTCAACTGCCACAAGTCAATATACACTATCTCCAGAGACCATGGCTCCCAGAACATAACTCTTAGCAGACCAGCAGGTCAGTCTATGTCTCCTTTTGTTTATAGCAACAGTTGATCTTATGTGAACTATTTAACCTGTAACCAAAACATAGGGATTGCAAAAATTGTAAATGTTCTAACAAATAGCAGAAATGATCTAATTAAAACAAAATATCATTTCTCATATGTGATTAACTTTGAAATAAAACTAAGACAAAAACAGAACTGATCAAAGCAACTATGTAATTTTAATTCAATATTGTACCTTTGACACATATATGCATACTTCAGGTATACTGTAACACCATACTGTACATTAAGGAATAGCCAAATTTGCCTTATAAAAGGCTCTGGTTTTAGTGTACTCAAAATAATCTAAGTTGGCAAAATTCATTTTTTCAGAAAAGGGTTCAGCAGTCATCATTTATGAGTCATGCTAGAATATGTACAGGTATGTGTTTAACATGGCTGTTAGAAAGAGGTACTGCAGTACTAACCTAAGTATTTAGGTAAGACACCAAACTACACTCAAAAATGAGACAAGATTAAATACCAGTCAGCTTGTCAGCTTTTCTATTTGCTATATTTTTTAATTTCTAATCAGTTGTTGCAAAAGGGGAAATAATATTTCACTTTTAAGCCAGTATTCAAAAGTTAAAAGTATATAACCTGCAAGCAAAATAAAGCGGAGTTGCCCCAGAAACGTTGGGCCTGTTTATGTCTGCACCGCTGTCCAGCAAACACTGTACCGTCTACAAGAGAACAAAACACCACCTTTAGAAAAGAGCAGTGGAAAACCCCAATGGCTTGCAAATATTTAGTGCATGTCTGAAGTAAGAAAAGACTGAGCAGACTCTCAAACAACTTTTGTTACATTTCAGTCACATAAATTTGCTACAGTTACTATAAGTAAGGTTTTCAGAATCTGGCCTTCCAAAATCCACCACTGACAAGGACAACAGAAGGGATCTGGGTAGAATGACAATTTATTCTTTTTAGTAGTAAATTCTTCTGGTGGCAAACTGTATAACTCTACAGGGTTCTAATGCAGTTCAAGTAAAGCATCCAGACTTATACTCTGAATATAAATAGTCAGCCCTAATGCAAGGCCAGGCATAAAAATAATTCACACAGATCAAAACCAGAAGAATTCATTTGAACTTTTTTACTTCTAGAGTTAAATTGTAACTGGCCGAAATCTGTTTTTATTTTTTACTCACAGTACATTAATATTTCTAATTTCAAAATTATATAATAGCTTGCACAATTACGAATTAAACATATTCTGAAAAATAAGGCAAAATATTTTCAAACATTTAAAATTACATAAAAACTTGATATTAACAAGCCAAAAATAGCACTACAGAAGAGCTGAACAATACACAGTACGTCACCTCAACTCCCATCGGCACTGAGATCAATCAGCTCCACAAGAATAAATAAGTTGTTCCCATGGAAGTGTATGCAGTCGATAGTAAAGACATATTCTTCACACTTGTAGCCATTATCATATGCATTACTACTCTGAAGTTTATAAAAAAACCACAACTTTGAGGCATTACCAAGTTCTTCACAAATCAATTGTGTTCATACAATTTAGAAACTTACTGTCTTGTGTCCATTTTGACAAGCTACATGAAGGGCTGTCTGTCCCATGGCATCTTCAACATCTACATTACTGACGTGCTGAACAAGATCATGAAGCAATTCTGTTCGTCCATTGACAGCCAACCAATGAATCTAAGTACAAAATTAATAATACACATGTATCCTTTAGCAATGATATATATACACTATAAAAATTATTTTAAACCTGGCTGTATTATTGTCAACACTTTCACAAAGAGAAGTTTTGCATTATATTAACGAGAAGCTTTGAACAATACAATAATATGCTTAGGTATTTTGATCACATCTTTTGATTCTTGATGGCACTGGACACACAGCAGTTGTTTTATGTGTAAGACGGCAAAAGCTTAAAAACTAAGAATCTTCAAATTCTTCATTCATTTTATGAACATCATGACAATTAATAGCACTTACTGCAGTCAAGCCTTCATTATTACAAATGTTGACATCTGCACTGTATTCCAGCAGCTTGCTCATACATTTTTTCTGGCTATAAGCAAAAGAATACATCAAAATCCTGTCAGGAAAAATCATTTACAAAGACTAAATATCTTCTTAGAGCTCCAATAACTCTAATTTATCATTGTTCTAAGCATAACAGGTGGTTCTAATTTATAAGGACTACAGTACTGAGCATGTGAACAAGAGAAGTGATCTTCACAGAGACTCAGTGCAAGGGTAGCAAACAAGAAAGGGTTAAAACCATAGCTGTTTTTGTGGAAAATGCAGAAGCACTTAACCACTACTCTAACAGTTTCAGCTCTTCATGAACTAGCCTTTCAAGACAAAAAGGCAGAGTTCAGCTAATAGAAGTCCATGAAGTTCACTGTAGCCTGTTCATGTCAGTGGATATGTTTACAGTACACCACTAAATCATTACTTAATGAGAGAGTCATTGTAAAACTATGCAAATCTTGTAAATCTATGCAAATACCTCTAAAAGTAGAGGTATTTTTTCCTAATTCATGTTTTGCTTCAATTTTTAATGCCCTAAGTGTTTTTTACCTTTACAAATTTATTTTGCTTTTCTTTTTGTTTGGTACCTTTCACACCTTTCTTATATATCATTTCCACATAACTGTCTCCTGTGTGTATTTCTGCATTTCATCATACACCACTTGCCTGCTTCTTTCCTCTCCTACAAATAGACCTCACACATACCCAGAAGCCACTAAACACTACAGCCTCCTCAGGTGAACTACCAGCTGTGATACAATTCATCACATACATGTCTAAAAAGAAAAAATATAACATTACCTTTACAGCTGCATGCTTTCACATACTACAATTCCAGAAGTAGGATCTTAAAGAGGTATTTGCTCACTGGTTTGGAGTTCTTTCTCTGCCTCTCTCCTAACACTGTGCAGGCCAACTTTGTATTCCTTTTCTTGCAGGAAAAAGTTTCTTAGAGACACTATCTCAGAAAAATCAGAAGTCTCTGACCCCCTCCAAGCCCTCCAAAACCTCTGCTTACTCAGCTAACTGGAAGGTGAATGTATCCCTCGTTCAATTACTGTTGTAATAATCATTATGCCCCTGATTAACAGAAAACACTAAAATGACTGGTACTGGAATCGGTATTTCAGACATGACTTACTATTTATAAAATATTATTCTGTGAATACTCAAAGTAAGGATTTTAACCTCCATGTTCTCGATTTTCAAAAGTGAAAACCAAAGGCGTTTTTTTGAACTACACAAAAATATTACAGAACATGCTAGCTCAGGTGCATTATGCAAAAATTTTTCAAGATATTAAGGATTTTTAAAACTTACCCATTCCTTGCTGCTAAATGGAGAGGAGTGCATCCTGAGATGTCCTGATAGTTTGGATTTGCTCCTTTTTTTAATAATAGAACAAGGCATTCAACTGATCCACAGCTAAGAAGAAAATAAGAAAGGGAAAAACTGTAACAAGGATATTTACAAATCTGTATTGGCATAAAGACAACAGCAATATTATGTACAGATCACATTCACTAGAACATCTTTACATAAAATTGTTTTACACCCCCATAGTTCAGGCTACACAGAGTTAAGTAAAATCACCTAATGCAGCAAAAAGTGACAAAATATAACTTGCAGCAATGAGTAGATGCCATCCTTCTCTGTGATTTTAATGACTTTAAAACACAACAGTAAGTGTTTAGGACTTAATTCTTTACACTATAAACTGTTTTGAAAGTTTTGCTTTCAATTTCCTCTCACCTCCCTCATCTCTAATCTATTAACAGGACTAAATTTTCCATTAAAGATGTTGGGGTTTGTTATGCTTCTGTGTCTGGAAGTTATATTTAGAAGTTTGAATATCAGGAAAATTCTAAAACTTGTACAAATATTTTTTTTTTGCTAGTACAAATATTGATTTGCTATCAACTTTGAACTTGTAATGAGGAGCTGAACTCTTTTACTTTACATAATATGGCAGCTCTTCAGAATAACCAATGTCACTAAGAAGACAAAAACTCTGCATTACATATTTATCCTGCTCCTGAACTCTTTAAGAGGAAGATCTGATTGAAAAGATAAACAGATTATTTTTGTATCTGTTGCAATCAGCTAATCAATTTTTATAAATCTTCTCAATGTCAGAACTGCTATGCAAGAATCCAAAGAAACTGAAGACTAACTGTACAATATGTTGCAAAACCAGCAGCTTGATGACCCCTTTGTGACCCAATAACTAAGTCAAGATAAAAGACAATCCAGAAACTAAGACACAACTTCTTGTATCTTGAGAATCAGTAAGTAAAGCATATTTTCAAACAGATTTCTAAAGTGTATGCTGAAAATTTGCTTGCATTTTTTTAAATACTTCCTTAAGTAAATTTTATATAAGCACTATGTAATTCTGAGATGAAATAGTTGGGAAACAGCTATTTCTAACAGTCTGTTCAAGAAGCTGGAATTTCCACCTTTATTGTGATCAAATACTGCTATATATATATGCAATACTTCTATTTCCTTTTTTCCCCCTTTTTCTAATCATTTAAATGTAAGAAATTTCAAGATATTTAAAGGGGAGACAAATACAGAGCATTCATTCATCAGTTTAAAGTTTAGCTTCCTGAAAGGTCATGACAAAAACTATGTTGTACATTTCTATTTATATGATGCTAACCTGTCTGTTTCTTCGCAGAGTTACATATAAAATAGAATTATTCCCATTGAACAGCTATACAAACAATAAATAATATAGATCAAAATTTGCACTGAAACCCTCTATCCAGGATACAAAACTTATTAGAAGTGAGCTCCCGAGTTCCCTTCAGCTGTGGTCACATGAAGTACTTTGGAACAGCTGCTTCCCAACAAACACCCAAATGCCTCCCATTGTTTTAGAATACCTCAAAAACAATCAGCACCTGCAAATGAGAGTTCTCTACCTCTACAAAGGCAAGAGTAACCCAGCTATACAGGATAAACATCACGGCTGCATTTTTTTAAAAAACTTCAGATTTCACAGAAAGGTAAGAAAGTATCTAGCCAGACTTCCTTCACTGGAATTTGGAATGCCATTTGATACCATGTGTAAAATCTGTCCTCTTTATGAGGAAGGTACATTACTAGGAAGAACAAACAAGATACAAAAAGTGTGAAAACAAAATGTTAACTGACACTACAGAGTTTTTCCAGCTTACATTGGTGCCTTAGATTTGTGGCAATATTTTCATTGTTAACTTCTGGACTGGACTCAAGTAAGTCTTACTTTGCTGCAATATGAAGCAAACTTCTCTTCACACGTCCAAAGGCATAATTCACATCAAATTTTGAATTTGACAGCAGCTCTGAGACAGACCTTCAAATAGAAAAATATTTTTTTAATTTTAAAAATAGTTCACAATATCCAAGCAAAATTTATACTGTAAGTTGTACACAAGTACTCTATCTATCACTTAATCACTATTTCTTTTCCTTCAACTAATTCCTTACATTTCTTACTGTACATAAAAAATGAACTGTGACACTGGCAAACTGTTTCAAATGTAAACTAGTAAGAATTAAACCAACCAACCAAACCACTTCTTTACAAATACGACAAATAAGCATTTCAACAGCTTTGGTTTAACCAAAATATAAATTCCCATTTTGCCCCTTATCAAAATCACCCCAACCACATATGCAAGAGTTTTCCCAAACACAGGTAAAGTTCAGAGGGAAAACTGGTATGTGAAATCATGATGATGAAGTAGAAGGATTCAAGATAAAAAATTTAAATAGGACCTTTCAACTTCCAGTAATGGGCTGATCACATAATTTAAAACCCTTGCATGCTGTCTCAAAATATTACATAGCAGAACAAATGTTTATCCTGGCTGGAAAAGCAGCTTTGTGTTTCAGTAAGAGTTACTGCATGCTTCCCTACAAAATTCATGTGAATGAAGCACCACTTAGCTGGCATCATATAGCCTCCAGGTTTCAAGCACTCGGAGGACAACTCAGTAAGAGAAACAGCTGTTCATCTGAGAAATTCCAGAAGAATCAATCTCATTGTCCAAGTCTTATTCCATGTCTTTCTGAGATGTCTAATGAGACTAAGAGCTTCTATGTCATCCATAAATACACACTCAGAACTAAGACACAGTTACAAGACAACACTTTTGTTCTTATCCTGGGACAAATTTTCCTATGTGCTTCAAGAGAACACATCCCAGTTCTGGTCTATGGCAAAAATCAAAACAGGTAAAAATATACTGGGATGCACACAGACAGTGACTAACTTCAAATTAGACCACAACTCAACAATTCAGCAGCTGGACCTTCTGAGATTGCTTTAGAAGCCATAACTTCAGCAAACAGGCTGGGTTTTTCAGATTTTTAAAAAAAAAAAAAAAGGTAAATTTAAAGAAGCTCTCACCTGTGCTGGTCAGCCATAACCATCGGCATCAGTGTATAGACAGCAGTTTCATTATCTGGAAAGAAATTAAATTACTCCGTTACCATAAAGATACCTTTTACATAAAATAAACACATCTAGCAACACTTATGTCCCTTTTCAAGTATCCACTGTTCAATAGATCATTATTTTTAAACAGATTCTACACACACAAAGTTTCAGTATAAATAAAAAGCCCTCATACTTACATAAAAGATAAAATTAACAGAATTGCAATACATGAAACTTCAATGACTTCAATGTGGCTTTTTTCTTTTACAAAGTAAAAGTTACAGAATTTTCAGTGGAGCATCAAACTAAATTTTCAGTGAAGCATGACAATTCTGTTAATTAAATCCAAGTTTTTAAGAGATATGCATTAAAAAACCCCAACAAAACGAAAACACTTGACTATTTAATTTTAAAAAGAAGGAAGTTTCCTGTCTTCCAAGGTGACTTCTGTAGTCGTGAGACTGATTTTGTAGTAGTGACTTCTTTAAATTACTTCATAACCATTCCATTTTGTCTTTATACTTGAATACCTGAGTGCAATAAGTTTCACTTTACTTTTTCATCTCAAATCAGTTTCTTACTTCACACTTGAAGGCAATGAAGAAAGGCCAGAACACAAAGATCCATCAGTGGTGGGAACACACTGGCATACAGCCACACAGTCTGTCATCACTACTGCTGCAAATGCCAGCACACTGCATGGGTGTGATGATCCTGTTTGGTCACTTGCACACCTCCTGAAGATACTATTTTTAGAATAACAATTTGACAAAACTTAAAATATTTTAACATATAACAATTATAAATATTATTAATGTGCATTAATTTTTTTATGTTATTATGGACAATTATTATAATTTTTCCCTTCAAGAAGCCACCCATTTTTGGGAGTCCACAGATGAACATGAACAATCTCCACAGATTGTTCATGTAGATACCAACTTATGACAGGAGTTTGGTTTCAGAAATACAGGACTTTTTAAGTTTTTCTTCAGCACTTTGATTGATGCAATGTTACAAAGCAATCAGAACAGGAAGAATTAGAACAGTCCCAAACAAGCAAAGTGTCTTGTGTCTTTTACATGCCTCCACTTCCACTAGGTAGGCAAAGTGACATCTACTGAATTTTAAATAAAGATTCTTCAGAATTATGAAGTGAAATCCAGAAATTGTTATCATGCTGCAGCTATGCTATTTGTTGTTATTTTTGTTCTGCAGTGCTGCAAGGTTACTACTGCTATCAGCTAGTTGAAGTTGTGTGTCCCTAGCTAACAAAAGAAAGAAGCAATGCTTCTTTCTAATAATCTCTTATTACCTTTGAACACTGGACAGAGATAAGTCAAATTCAAATCACATTTCATCAGCTATAAAAATTTTAAAACAAATTTTTAAAAAGTCAACATTGCTTATAGTAAACACATGGTACAGGAGACACAAGCCTCTCAAAACACCAAATTATGATTAAACATTGCAGAGAGTAACCAATGATCACCAAGTTCAAGTTTGAACTCTACAGATTGTTCCTTATGGCAAAGTTCTATAAGTATCAGATAACTCCATCTCCAACACACACACCCAGAATTTGACTGCTGGGGGAAGAACAAACTGGGAGGGAGGGGACACAGAGAGAAAGACTCTAGAAACAAAATTAAATAGATGCTAAATAAATATAAATTGTGAAAAATATTTGAGCACTTTTTCAAAATCTGTCCATGATAAGCTCCCAGTATACACAAACTAAAAAAAAAAAGTATATATCTTCATCCCTGTTTCACAGAGCTCTGAGCAGGAAGATAAAGCTTTCCAAATAAAACAAAAAAAAAAAAACTTAAAATGCATCAACTAAATTTAAACATGACATCCTTATATATATTTCCACAATCAGGCTCTATACAATACACTAAAAAAAGGTGAAAAAAACTTTTAAACATATCAGCACACTTAACTGAATGCTTAATATTGATTCTAACTATATTTAACTATATTGCAAGTGCAGTGATCTAGAAAAAGTCAATAGTCAAATACAAGTGTAGCTGGGCCATACAGGCATTTATGGCACAGTTACAAAACTAAGCCTTTTCCTATTCTATTAACAGAATTTATGCTGTGAAGCACATGCAGATTTTCCTAGAGTTTTTCTGTAAGAAGTACTTAAGAGGGTGTGGGACTAAGGAGCTTTTGTGCTTATTTTTGGTGATTATTTTCTCTAGTCATGAAAAAAAGCTCCAACTGACATAAACTACACGACAGCAGGTAGAGAAAAAGCATTATACACCTCATGGACTCACCAAACTTATTTGCTATCTAACTTGCTTGCTTTTCAAATCTTGATTACTCAAAGACAAAAAAAAAAGGCACACCGAACATAGTGTCACAGCTTTGGGCTGCAAGATCTAGTTTTCAGGCACTGAGCCGTAATAGTATCATCCAGAAATTTGTGTCAAGCTCTCAAGTGTCTGAAAAACAACTGCTGAAGGATACTTTGGAAGAGTGATACAAAAAGTTCTACTTGCAAGCTCAGGTTATTCACTGGCACTGGACTCAGGTGTCAAGATTTGCTTTAAAAAAAAAAAAAAAAAACCTTGAAATTCATTATCTAGAATCCTGCCCTGGCAAGATACATTGCTTTATTTCCTCAGAGATACTGTCATGAAGTTGGCAGAGATCACAATCTTAAAGAAGTGCCAGCCCTGTCCACATAATACCCTAGTGGGTATGGCACATGCAATGGAAGTTTATATCTTCCAGTTATTGGGATTTATTGCCTTCTTCAGCATAAGTAAATTCAAACATACACCTCCATTTCCTGTGACAGAACTACGACTCTCACTTTAAGGATGGAGGGGTAAACCATGTATCTTTCAAATTAAATGTCAAATTAAAATTATTCAAATGCAGTGGAGGGGGGAAAGAGGGGGAGTCATAATTCAAGAGGCCAGACACAGCACACAACAAGCCAACAAACTACATACTATCCTAGATCAGTGTGGAATATTCCAAGGTGATCCTGTCAGTACATGTTTGGAACAACATACAAGTCAAACCTGCTTCTCAAGAAGAGTTTGGGCAGACCTGCATGAACCTAAGGAACACCAAGGTCAAGAAAGAAGATACCTAATGAGCTAAGATGGACCCAAAGTTGGATGGCCATTGAACAGAGACTGTGTTTGTCAATGCAGTTTGAGACTTCAGTGTGTTAAGCACATTTATCTCCTTATAGCAGTCCCATTGATTTGTTTCATGCAATTCCTAAGGAAGGCATAGAATTCACATTCCTTCTGCACTACAGGATGATAGAAGTACTTGTTCCAAAGGTCTCAGGGCTTCCACTTGCACTACAGGATGATAGAAGTATTTGTTCCAAAGGTCTCAGGGCTTGCACTTGCACTGCCATTCCACAGACTACCTCTGAAAAGTAAGATAAAATTGCCCAAGATGTGAAGAAAACAGATGAAATTCAGAATCAATGTGCCTACATTAGTACTGGAGTAAATTTAAAGCAGCTCCAACTGACATAGGTTGTGCAAAGTATTATTCATATTCGCATCTTCAATTAGTTAAACTGGCTACTCCATTATTTCTGTAAGTCTAAGCTTTAGTTAATAGTATTACGTCAATTTTCAGTGCTGCCAGTCAAAGGCTTACAAGCAGCAGCAAAATCTGCCTGAAACTTGTCTGGCAAGTGAAATTTATTAGTAACTGCACTGCAAAACACCGGAACTGTGACAAGTGACAATACGTGAAGGGTGTAGTAGCACCATTCGGGAGGACACTAGGAAGTCCAAACAGCAACTGCACAGAGAAAACAGAATATTACTCCCTCTCCCCCACCACTGGAGATGAAAGATGGCAGACAGGCAGCCAAAGACTCATCCATAAAAGTAAACACTGAAGAAAGCATAGTGACAGCACATGACTCACAAGAACAGAAATTCCACATGTCCAAGAGTTTTATAGTTAGTCCTCCCAAAAGCTGGACCCGGCTGGAACACCAAACCACTTGCCGTAAGAGCCTGAAGCTCTATTTTCAAATCCGTCCTGATATGGGGGTCCAGCACTCACGTGAAGTGCTTTAGAGCCAAAAGAAGTTAGGCGGTGACAGTGACTTACAACACATTTTCAATTCAGCACCACTAAAAAACAAACAAACAAACACAAAAACCCACAAAGAGTTTTCATCCCTACTCTGTCATCGACAAGGCCCCTGACGAAGGATTTAGCAGCGAATACAGCCGGTGTCCGGCACCCCGGCCACTCGCCCGGGCCCAGGGCGGCAGCAGCCGGCAGGGATCCCCGCCGGGGGAGGGGGAGGAAGGGGACGCCGCTGCTGCTGTCAGCACGACAAACAAACAGAGTCTGTCAGAGGCGGTGAGAGGAACCCCGTTCCCACCCTCCCCAGCCGCCTCAACTCATCCCCGCCGGCCGGGGAGCGGAGGCCGCCTGCACCGACCGCTATGTCAGGGCCCCGCTCCTACCGTCCGGCAGCTCCACGGTGCGGGCGCGGCGCAGGGACCTGGTCAGCCGGTTGAGCTGCTCCATGGCTCTCTCCATCCTCGGGGGCCCAGCCCGGAGCCGCGGACACCCCCGCTGCCGCCGCTGCCCGCTCTCAGCCCATCGCGGCGCCGGCGGCGCCCGAGGCCGCCCAGGCCGCCGCCACGCCGGGTGCTGCGCGCATGCGCGGGGCGGAGCTGGGGGCGGGGGCGAGCTCCCTCAGTTTGCTTTTTCCCCCAAGGAAGGAAAGGGGTGTGGGCGATGAATTTTCAAAGCTCGTGGAAAATGGATGCTTAAAGGTCTGCTTGTTGCAAATAAAAATAAAAAAAGTGCTGCCTTTTGAAGCCGCCTCTGGCAGGTGATCCTGCCCGTGGGGCTCATTTCCCCGGAAGCACGGAAGACAATGGGGCTGCAAACACACTTAAGCGGGACAGAATCACAGAATCGAGCAGGTTGGAAAAGACCTATAAAATCATCGAGTCCCACCTATGACTGAACACCACTATGTCAACTAGACCGTGGCGCCAAGCGACACACCCAGTCTTTTCTTAATCACCCCTAGGGGTGGTTCCACCACCTCCTTGGGCAGCCCATTCCAATGCCTCATCATCCTTTTTGTGAAAAACTTCTTCCTGATGTCTAGCCTAAACTTCCCCTGGTGCAGCTTAACGCTATGTCCTCTCATCCTGTCGCTGGTTGCCTGGGAGAAGAGACCAACCCCACCTGGCTACACCCTCCTTTCAGCTGATAATAAGGTCACCCCCAAGCCTTCTTTTCTCCAGGCTAAACGCCCCCAGCTCCTTCAGCTGCTCCTCACAGGACTTGAGCTCCAGACCCTTCGCCAGCTGCATTGCCCTTCTAGTGCCAGCACAAAAACTATAGACACTTGGTGCTGTGCAAGGAAACAACTGGAACATGAGTCTTTCAACTCATTTCTTCCTGTGACATGATAATATATGTTGTCAAGCATGAAGGAGCATTCAGTGTTGGGTATTTTAGCTTTAATTATGCTTCAGGTGTTGATGCAATCTTGGCAAACCAGGGGAGCGTGGGCTGCGTAACAATGCTGTAAATAGAAAATGAAAAAATTATGTAAAAATTGAATGGAAAGAAAACATACCCCAACAAGATCATGATCAACTTCCAAATGCAAGAAGGTATATGGGATTCCACAGGGATCTGTTGTGATCTGGTTCTGTGTAATGCTTTCACTATTTCATTCTGTAAAATGCTCCAATGACTCTGACTTGGAAAAATTAAGAAAAGCTATCTAAGATTTGAGAAAGGTTCAGAAAGGACAACAAGGACAATCAAGAATCATGGGATAGTTTACATTGGAATAGGCTTTTAAAGGTCACCCATTCCGACCTCTGCAATGAACAGGGACATCTTCAAATAGATTAGGTTTCTCAAAGCACTGTCCAACCTGACCTTGCATGTTTGCATGTCTGTGGCATCCACCTCTCTGAGCAACCTGTTCTAGTGTTTCACTACTCTCATTGTAAAAATAATTTTTCTTATATCTAATCTAAGTCAACCCTCCTTCAGTTTAAAACCATGACCCTTTGTTCTATTGCAAAAGGCCCTGTGAATTGTCCTCCATGTAAGTAAGAGCTGACTTGGACTCTGCTATTTGGAAAAGAAACGCTGTACAGAACAAAGTAGAAGTGGAAAAATAATGAATGTCATGAAGGTTTGACCTGGGGAAAAAAAATTAATTTATTACAAATCAAATCAGAGTAGGTTAGTTAATGAGAAACAAAAAGTAAATTTTATAAAAACACTTTTTCCCCCCCAAAACTCCCTTCTTCCTCAACTTCATGCCTAAATTCTCCACCTTCTCCCCACCAGCAGCATAGGGGGACAGGAAATGAGGGCTGTGGTAAGTTCATCACACACTTTCTATGCTGTTCCATTTTCCCCAGAGGGAGGACATCTCCCACTCTCCCTCTGTTCCAGAGTGGAGTCATTCCCACCAAAGTCAGTCCTCTACAAACTTCTCCAACATACAACCCTTCCACAGGCTGCAGTTCTTCCTGAACTGTTCCAACATGAATCCCTTCCATGGAGTGCAGGCCTTCAGGAACAGGCTGCTCCAGTGTGGGTCCCCACAAGGTCACAACTCCTGCCAGCAAATCTGCTGCAGCACAGGCTCCTCTCTGCACAGAGCCTTAGAGAGCTATTTCCTTTTATTCCAAGTTTCTAGGGGCTGGGGTTAGAGTTTATTGCAATTTCTAATTGTTCTCACTAGTGTAGAGGATTAATTAAGTGACTATTTGAGGTCCCTTTCCTTTTCTGTGAGAATGGTTCCAGACACACCTAATATTAAAACTACAATATGTGTGAACAACTGTTCATAGGAATCAAAGAAGAGAAAAGTGAGGAAACTGGAGAATGTATGGGTTTTTTTCTAAATTAATATCTTTTTAAACGCTCTGTAAGTATAGTAATAGTCATTCAGTGCAACACTGCCGCAAGACATATTTGGTGGCATCTTTTAAAAGCAACAAAAATAATGGGTTGAAACAAAAACATTGATTATGCAATCAGTTACACAATGTTATTATTTTGTACATATTTAGCTTCTAATTCAGTGCTAAACAAAAAATATATTCAGGATGCATCCTCAAAAGTTAAAGAATTGATACAGCAGTATAAAATCCTTAGTAAATTTAGTTTTAAATATAGAGTGTTTTACTGTGATCTGCAATCAGCAGGGAAGTGGACAGTGAAGAACTAATACAAGTTATTACGCTTACTTAGCCAGCCTTGCTTGATATCAATGTGGTTTAAATTCTTCTTAGTTCTTCTTGGTACAGAGAGTGAATAAAATCTTGGTGGCTATTATCTTCCATACTGTCACAAACTGCTCAGGAAAAAAGGGAATGAGCATGCATATTAACTGACTCATTTCCATAGCAATAATCTACATGGTCTCCCAGCCCTAAACACAAGATCTTCCTTGACCTAATAACAGGTTCTTCTGCTCTCTGTCTCCTGGGGTCTTTGTGGTTTAGCCAGCAACTCAGACTCTCCCAGCCACTCATTTAGTCCCTCCCGGTGGGATGGGGAAGAGAATCGGAAGGGTAAAAGTGAGAAAACTCATGGGTTGAGACAAAGACAATTTAAAAGGTAAAACAAAATCTGCATACAAAGCAGAACAAGGAATTTGTTCACCACTTCCCATGGGTAGGCAGTTGTTCAGCCATGCCAAGGAACACAGGGCTCCACCACGTGTAGTGATGACTTGGGAAGACAAATGCCATTACTCCAGACATCCCTGCCTTCTCTCCCATTTTTGACCCTATTTCAGGTTTTCTTGCACAAGCTCATTCTACTTGCCAAGACATTCCCAAACAGATAGAACATAATGGATGGGCATTTGCAGCTTTGTAGCCTTACTCTGTCCACTACAGCATGAAGTCTACAATGCTCTACAATAGCTGTTTTAATTGATGTCTGTGTAAAACTTTAAGGAAGGAAAATCCAGTGGAGGCCAGAAGGCAATCCAGGTAGGGGTGACATGATCTCAATGGTCAGTGTCAATGGTCACAACTTTCAGTATCCCTTTCAGAGGATGATTTAATTCCAGACCTACCCAGTTGGTTTGCGGGCTGCATACATGGCTATGGTTTCTCTTTTTTGTAGACTACTTTGTAGACTTCATCATTCCAAAAAAGTCTCAGCTGGACTCTATGAGCTTTTGGTATGTTCCAGGAAATTTCTACTTGAACAGTTTGCTTTCCCAGTGGTATTGCAGCTGTTCATGCCTGTATTGACTGCTGTGGAGAACTAGGCACCTCTGCATGGTAATTAATTGTCTAGTTTAGAAATGGGCATTGCACTAGAATTATACACCTTCAGAGGTGCTTGTAAGACACCTCTAGTAAGTCTTAAATGGAGAACTCTTAAGTGAGCAAAATTAGCTGAAAGTAGTAAAATTAGCTTAATTTGTTTACACTATGAGGTATAGCAATACTTCCAAATTTTATTAATTTTCTTGATGTCAAGGAAAAAATTGACATCTCAAAGAAAGATTAAGGTTCTCAACTTACCACCTAAGCTTTAAGTCATTGAATGCAGTCAGCAGAGTTCCCTTCAATACTGACATAAGGGGACCTCAATATATCTGTCCCTTGCACTTACATATCTGAAGGTGTCATGTTCAACTGCCTACAAGAAATTGGTCAAACGTGTCTTTCACAGTGAATGAAATCAAACCAATTATCAGCCCTGTGAAAGAAACACTATCCTTGATATGTAGAGGAATTTCATTGCTGTGAGCAGTCTTGGAGACGATGAGAGGTAGACTGTTCCTTTTCAAAAAAGATAATACCATCCTTAAACAGTTAAAACTCTGGCACTCATGGCATTTATTTTTCTACAAGAAAACTTTACTTCAGAGATATACAGGACTGGGAGGAATACAGATAATTGTCAGAAGTGGAATGCAGTACTATGTAAAACTAAAAACATTCAGCTCTTTCTGTTTCTTCTTCTCTTCTTCTTCTGTTTCTTCTTCTGTACATTCTTCAAAAAGACATACAAAGTTGGAAGAACTTTTTGCTAGTTAGCCTACAGCATAGAAGTGAGGAATTGATATTGATTTTTCCATGTTTAAATGCCAAGAGAAATTTGTGGCATAAAGACTTAGTAAACTTTGGATCTCAGGTTTTTTCTGTGTTTAGATTGCTAGTTATTCACAAAGCCTTCTCTGGACAGTGCTGAGCTCAAGCTTTCAGTCCTAAACTGTACCTTTGATCGTCACAGAACATCAAAATATAGGAACAAATTCAATATGTAGGAAAGTGCATTTTATCTATAGTTTGTTGTCTCCTTTTACCAAAAAAATAAAGGAGTTTCTGCTCAGATTCAATTCAACAGGCCTTACTAATTTACAAAACTATGACACAGGACTTCTTTGAAAAAGTACTGAATCTCTGCAGAAAGGAAAAATATCAATAAATACTTAGAAATGGATAAAAAAGCCTAATTTTTTTATTTTGTCTGCAAAGAACTCTAGGATCATCGAGTCCAACCATTAGCCCAGCACTGCTATGTCCAACACCAAACCATGTCCCTAGGTTCCAGTACTACACAACTTTTAAATACCTCCAGGGATGGTAGCTCAAGCACTTTCCTGAGCAGCCTGTTGCAGTGATTGACAACC